TCTGAGGAAGGCGAAATCCGCCGAAACGTCAGCTTGTGCGTAAATAAAGAAATAAAATAGCACCTCGTGCTTGCTGAAAAGAAGTAGAAAGATATATATTCAATCAATGCCGAGGTTAATGAATGGAAAGTCGGACTTGGGAGTTATCTTCGACTGTTTGGAGTACAGAACGGCATCTTTGATCTTTGATCGTTGACGCAGGTCGGAGCTTCGAATCTCTTCCCTTACTTGCGTGACACGGGATACTACTAGCATCGTACTTTCGCATGCGAGTTCAATAACGCTGAGTGATTTTTCATCCTGTTTACGCAGCGACGAGACTTCTGAAGCATAGGTTAACGCAGGAAGCACTGTTGAGTCGAAAAGCTGGGAACGGAGTCGAGTGTTTTTTGTTCTCTTCACTAAATCCTCCATGCTCCTGAAAGCTCTCCAAGTCGCTCGTTTCCTTCTGCTCAACTCTGCCTACGTCGTTCAACATGTTCATTTCTCAACCTAGACAGACATAACTGGAACATTTGGAGATATTCGTTCCGTTGAGCGTGAATGGGGCACACGAAACCAATCCGTTCCTCATGAATATCGTTTCTGCGGGGTTTAATCGAAGACAGATCATTCCACAGGCTTTATCAAAGTTGGCCAGCATTTGTTTCGCGTGGCTTATGTGTGGTAATATAAAAACAAAATTATCAGCAAAGCGAAGATGATGTAGTTGCCGACCGTCAGTTCTAACTCTCACGTTGTCCCATACCAATGTTCCATGATATTCTTGTGGGTGGCAGTGAATAATCTTGGCGACATGATATCGTCTTGTACGACCCCTTTTCTGACGTTGATGTTAACATCGTTGTAGAATGGTGATATCTTGGTTGTGAAATTTTTGTACAGCTCACGAAGAATCTTTATGTACTGAGTAGGGACTCCTTGACTATCAAGGGCTTCGATGATTTCTTCTATCTTAATTGAATCAAACGCCTTCTGTAAATCGATGAAAGTGAGACAGAGCGGTGTGTCGTACTCTCGCGATACTTCAATGACCCGTGTTATCGTGCAGATGTGGTCCATCGTACTAAATCCTTTTCGAAACTCTGCTTGCTCACATGGTTACCCTTCCTCCAGTGTTCTGTCAATCCTGTTTGGGATGACTCAAGTGAAGAGTTTGTAGACGACAGACAGCAAGCAGATTGAGCGATAGTTGCCGATATCGTGGAGGTCACCTTTCTTGAATAATAACATGGTCTTGCTGGTCTTCCTTTGAGCAGGGACCTTGAATTTAGGTAGGTAACGCGTGAGCAGCCGAGTCAATGTGTTCACGAGGACTGGCGGAAGGTTCTTCAAGTGTTCCCATGTTATCCTTTCCAGACCTGGTGCTGTTCGATATTTCACCGACGAAATTGCACTTCGGATTTAGGAAGGGAGAACCGGTAGTACAACTTATCCATCCTCCTTTATTTCTTATAATGGAAAGTGGACGTGGCTATCCAAGAGATCTGAGTAGTATTTGTGAATGATTTTCTCCACTGCCTTTCTGGACGCTGTAACTGTTCCGTCTGTACGTCGGAGTGCAATAATCTTGGTCTTGTAATCTGCGAACCTTCGGTGGACTTTGCGAATGCGTTTCCCAGCCTCTGCAGCTTCGGCCATTACTGCTGCTCTTGTCTCTCTAAGATCTTTTATTGCCTCTCTGCATTGGTTTGCATGTTCGGACGTTAGTTCGCGGCTGCCTGTAGATCGTGCAATTCAACTCTTGCGTATCAGTTCGAGTGTTTCTGGAGACAGGCGTCTCTTGGTGACTTTCGAACTCTCAGCTATCAACAACAATGTTTACATAGAAGAACGAAATCACAATGTTTCAATCTTTGTTTATTGGCTGTTTTTTTTTCATAGCAAGGTATTATGTGAAATACAACCACAAGTATGCTGAGATATGTACGAAACTCGGAACTTTAGCTAGGCTTGGAGCCCCGCGGTTAGCCTTTCTTTCAGTGGCTCACGTGCTGTTCACACCACCAGCCGAGGTCCTTTCACCTTTCTCTCAGCCAGTTTTTTTACCTCAGCGATGCTATCAACAATCAATCATCAACGGAAATGATCTGAAGAGCGCAAATCGACATTGAACTCTGTGTTTTACCTTTTATTTTCTGCCTAATAAAATTTTCACGGCAGGGTACTAAGCGAAATACAACCACAACGTTACTGAGACATTTGCAAAACTTTGGACCGCAGCTGTCTATGGTGGCGAACGAACGCGCTATTGTCCTTTCCGGTGAGTAATGCGTTCACCACCACACCATGCGGGTCCTTCGTTTCGCCTGTCTCTCAGTTATATCTATCGATCAGCGCCATCAGCAGTCACCTGTCAGCAGGATTGATCTGAGGAGTCCACATCGGCACATCCACAACCAAATCAATTTCGTTGATGGATGATTGCTGTTGGAGCTGATCGATAGAAATAGCTGAGAGATAGGCGAAACAAAGGGCTTGCATGGTGTGGTGGTGAGCGCGTTACTCCCAGGGGAGGGCAATAGCGCGTTCGTTCCCCACCATAGACACCTGCGGTCCAGAGTTTTGCAAATATCTCAGCAACGTTGTGATTAACCTCAGCGTTTAAATTTTCATTTACCACCTATCCTTTTTTTCATGACAGAGTATTAGGTGAAATGCAAGCATAAGTCAAGCAAAGAAGAAAGAAAGACGGAGAAAGGCAAGACATCGGCCTTGGTTGGCCTGTGGATAGCACGTGAGCATGTTAAAGATTCACGGGTTCTAATCTCATCTGAGCTTCCAACTTTTGCGTATCGCTCATCATCCTTGTGGAAGAAGGAAAATTCAGAAGCGTTGCAGGAGTTGACGACGATTATTAACTTTTTCGAAGCAAAGAATGCGGTTATTCACCCAGCTACCACTACTTCGGTGTCCACTTCTGTGACAACGTCGAAGGAAAGAAAAGTAGGCGGATTCGTTCATTTGACGATATACATTTAGTAGTATTCAAATTAGGTTGATTGACTGGGTAGAAATGGAAAGGGGGAGGGGTAGAGAGATGAAAATCCTAACGGACCAACATTTCGTCCTTCGAACTTTATACTTTCTGGAGTATTTTGCATGTAGCACTTAAAAACACGAAACCGTGGCCGGGAGGGGTTTATTTACTGCTTTAGCTTTAGACTGTATCTAAAATTCCCTACGCCTCCCAGAATTCCATAATGGTACATCATTTACCATCGAAATATTGGAAATGAGTGGATGTCCAACTAGATACTTGGGTAATTGGACGGCCCATCCTCACTAGTTTTGAGGGTCCCAGCATATCCATCTTTCGGAGTTTTGCTGGTTTAGCCACTGTGGTTTTCTGAAGTCCTGGGGTCAGCCTAGTCAAAGTTTGCACAGGTCCACCATAAGCAGTCGCCGGCATTGTGGATCGGAGGGAGTTTTGCCACCATACGACTACTTTGATATCAGGGCGGTGGTCGCGATGCTGGCACTGGTTTTCTCTTGCCTGGACTTCCTGATGGAGAAGTCGAACTCCTTCTCAGCTTGAGAGGTTCTGCTGGGGGAATGAATTCCCACACTGTACATCACATTCAGACACCAAGAAACACCACCCAGCCACGATGAGGCGCCAAGCCTTTGGGAGGTATCCAACTAGAATATATGCTAAATTCAGTTTACAAAGACCTTGTTAGTTGACGAAAGCTAGTCAAGACTTTCCAATAGTGTAATGATTTAAATATCAGAATATTTCTGTTAAAAATTTCCAAAAAGGAAATTTTAAAGGAGTTTACCACACTTCTTGATGAACTCCTCGATGAGTTACCGACAACTGCTCAAAGTGAACCGTTGGATTCGTCAACGACTACACAGATTACCGCAACAATTCGGTCGTTTCCATACGAAGAAACGACAGTCGCTTATGCCACCACCACCACCATGGCCACCTCCGTCGAAACCTCCGTCGCCGCTACCGCTGCCACGACCACTGCCACGACCACTGCCACAACCACTGTCAGTACGACTGCGAAGCTCACCACCATTACAACAGCTCGTTCAACAAATACTATTGGATCACCGAACACCACACAACCAGCAGACGAGCCGAATATTGAGGACGAATACGACGATTATGCAGATGTCACTGTCGATGCGGTGCAAAATGAACGCGAAAACTCTCCCATTAATGGTGAGTGTTGATGGAACTAAATATCTGATGGTGAGTGTTGATGGAATTAAATATCTAAACGTGAAACATCCAGTCTACAATAGCACATGATAGATGTACAGTAATACTGAAAGTTGGGTAGGTAATCGAAGAACTAGGCGAAAACAAGTAATTTGGGAGACTACAATTTTTTTCAAGAAATGCTCGGTTACGTACCAACATTATTTAAAGTAGCGCTTTCTCGTGAAATCATTAAACTAGGCGCAAAGTTCTTCTAAACAATTTATTTATTCTTCATGTGATCTACAATGACAGGAAAAACTTACTGCTGTGACAATTTCAAAAATTTATTTTAAAGGTCTTTGAAAGTATATAAAATATCTTTTGCTGAAACACGATAATCTCATTCTTCATTCGATCTAAATTTAGCATAACCCGGATTTTGTTGAGATCCAGAACAATCGTTCCCTGTAACTCTTTCTTTTGCTTAGGAGCGTGTGATTACCGAAATTTCCTTTCTAGCATTACTGAAGTGTCCTCAAAAAAAAGTAGGATGAACTTCATCGTTGCATCCGTTGTGAGTTTGAATCGACTTGTGGCAGCCACACCACCTCCTATGTTCAAGAAAAGAGCTCGCTGTATTAAGAGAAAACGCCATGACTTACTAGAGGCTTTTAGAACTCAGCATCGCCTTGGGTTTCGTAGGGGCTGAATAATCCCACTTCGTTGGCTATCGAGAAACTGCAATTATGTTTTACGAACTCCTTCTTAGCCGACGCGACGTTGGTACAAATGTTCTTATTGCTGTTGTTGCAACAATGGTTGACGTTTCGGCGAGCTCGCCTTCCTCAGAGCCTTGCCGTTGGACCGTACGTCAGCTACTGTGGCTCCGACTAGAACTTGTGACTACGAGCGAAAAATCATCGATATCCTTTTTTTGCGTTTGCTCATCAACAGAGCATCGATGCAACTGTCCACGAATTGCATGAATCGTTGATAATGACTGTAATATCCGTTCTTGTTTTGCTGTCAAATAGGAATTTCCCGGTCTATTTTGGCGATCTTATGCCCAATTTCAATCCTTTAATGGGTTCCATCGCGCACCTCAGGGTACCATCTTTATGTCGGTCCATCTTAAATTACAATTGAGTTGAGTTTCTCAGGGGGAGAGACATATTGGTACCGGACTTATCCAAGATGACTATCTTGATATATGGATAGGCCACTGCAGGCCATTGTATGAGCCATAAGGGCCATAAATGCATTCAGTCACCTTTGACGATGTTTGATGAAGTCGAATGTATGGCGCATCCATCAGGGATTGATCAACGCCAATAGCTTTGTCTTGCATCCCTCAAAAAAATAAGTTTTCTTATTTTCTCTTTTTCGTCCGCCTTCATTATTATTAAGATTTTTTCCTCATGAGTTAGTTCGTGAAATTTACAACATTCTGCAGAAATTTTTTCAACTACGACTGAACCTCCGAAAACTTCGCCAAGAAGTCGTTTGTTCTCGGATGACAGCTGGGAGCAGACACCACCGAATTTTCGTTATTCATCACTAAGAGTATTGCCGTGAGTTTCTAACAGTATCGTCAGGACAGCTGTTAAAATCTTTTTTACTATATTCTTTCCAAATTCTCCTACGACGTCAAGATCATTTAGAAATGGAGGAATTACACCTTTGAATATCGATACGACTACGCTGTTCGGTTTTGACGATAACGATGAGGGTGAAGCCAGCGACGTCAGCGATGATGATGAAAACACGGATGATAAAGCTGGTGATGCCGACAGCTATGAAGACAGCGAGGGGAACAAGGATAAAAGCCAGGCTTCAACGGAACTGAAAACGACCCAACCAATAGAATTGTTAGAAATCAAACTCGATTCCAACCATGATGACGCTGTCCAGCAGGAAGACGATACACCAACAAAACATCAGCCTGAGGAAACCCGAGAGTTTGGAGTTCAGTCCATCGTTTCGATAGCTGAACACAATGTGACGGCAACGCTAATTGAAACTGTTATGGAATCGGACAACAAAAATGGTAACGTGCTTGAAAGACCTACAACAAAAACTCAAATTTTCGACAAAAGGTGGGCATTCTTAGCGGATTTTCCAGTTAAATCGACGTAAAGATATTCTGGTACCAAGTATATTTGAAAAGACTTTTATTAAAATATATTGTCTTATACGAAATCTACCACAATGGCGCTGAAGTATTTGTAAAACTTGGCTCCGGACCAGATCGAACCATGATTTGCCTTTCTGGAGGTTCTTGGGTTACACACTGCGCCACTGAAGTCCTTTTCGCGAATATCTCAGCATCGTTGTGGATGATTTCGTATAATACCCTCCTGTGAGAATTGTATTATGCAGTAAATAAAAAGATAAACATTGTGATTTCGACTGCAGCCTCAGCTTAACTGGGTCCAATGCCGTTGTGTGCTCCCCAGGTCGATCCCGTTGGCGGGTGATTGCTGATGGCGCTGGTAGATTGAAAACCAGCTGAGACGAGGGCAGAACAAGGACCTCCGTGGCGCAGTGTACAATGCACGAGCCTCTAGGAAAGGAAATCGTGGTTCGATCTGGCTCGGGGTCCAAGCTTTGAGAATATCTCAGCATCGTAGTAGTCGATTTCCTATCATACCCTGCCGTGAAAATTGTAGTAGGCAGTAAATAAAGAAGTAAACATATATTGTTCTGGAATTATTGAAAGTATATTTCAATAACTCAAAATACCGGCTTTCTATAAACTTCGGCATATATAGTTGATATATTTATTTACATGATCTTATAAACTGATCTTGTTTAGCTGATGCGAGGCTGGTATAGGTATATTTCAATATATCTAAAATAATGACACTAATAGTAATGCTGAGATATTTGCAAAACTGCGGACTGTAGGTGTCTGCGCTAGGGAACGAACGCGCTATTACCCTTTCCGGGGGCTAACGCGTTCACCACCGCACCATGCGGGCCCTCCGTTTCGCCTACCTCTCAGCTATTTCTATCGATCAGCGCCATCAGCAGTCACCTGTCTCTCTGCTAGATAACGACACTTGCATAATATTTAGATCTATTAACAGAGTTCATATTGTATTTGTGGTAACATCAAAACATAGAATACAACTATTCAGGTTGAATTTATTGCGACCTTCTTCGACCTCACCACCAGTTCTTCCTGTTCACTTCACTGATGGTCTGAAGACGAAGGAGCGAGTGTGGAAGGAATTCAACCGAAATTCTGAAGAAGGTGAGCTCTCACTATACTTCATTACTTAACATATTCACGGTGTCTTATAAAGCACATGTGATTCATATAGCACGAAAGTAATCCTGGTTTTTATGTTTGAACCATCACATAACAGCTCATGCTGAACTTTCGCAATTGAAACAAAAACCTTTAAAAATTCTATTAAAATTTATAGATCACTGCCAACAGGGAGTGAGTTTCTATGTTCAACTGAGACGAATGTTATAAGCCATTGCACGCCTCACAACCTCACTAAGTTTTCCACCTGGGCTATCAGAGAGCATGGAGAGCTAAAAGCACTGCTTTGTTACAGAATAATGAAAGTTTGTACACGACAGCTCACATGTCATCTCGCTGTTAGAAACATAAACATTCCGTATTGTATCGCCCACAGGTCCCATAGAGTAGGAAGCAGTGAGGACTATCGCCTGCTTCTCGACAGACCGTGGAATGTCTGAACATTACATTCGTTTGAAGTTGCTGAACTTTTACCACTCTTTCTGATTAACGATGAAATGTTTCACAAGTATGAAGATTGATCCGAAGAGGTTGTCTCTGTAAAGAGAAATTCTGCTTTCACCTTCCTTATCAATAATATTTCCATTCGTTCAAGTCAAGGTGACCGTGTTGCATAGTTGGCGGGAAGTTCCATCCTGTTAGTACTTAAGCGATTGTTGTCCGTAGTCGATGAGATGTTCACACGTCTTTTTCTCAGTAAAAGTTATGCTGAGACTAGCTGTGGAAGCTTCATCGAGGGAGCATCCACTATGGCGGGCCAGTTGACCAGTTTCTATCTGCTTTTATAACCTGATTTATAGCCGGTGGAGTTTTCCATGGATTTGCTAATTATGTGAACCAAGCGTTTCTTTATTCAACGGAACACTTTCTCGCATTCTCATGGAATTCTCTTAGCAAGACCTTCACTTTAACAATTTTCTTATGCCTTCATCAAAACGATTTCACGGCTTTCATATGCTTATGATGAAAAGCTGCCAAATAGACCTCTTCACTCGTTCACTCTGCTTTATACATTTATTTACCAGTCAGTTCATTTTTGACGTAGGTAACAAAAGAAAAAGAATACACAGCAAATTACTCGCTTGGAAGACACTTCGAGGTCTGCCATCTCATCACTTGTTTTGAAAAGTTCAACACCTCTTTCATGCGTTCCCTCATGATCATTTTCAAGAGTTACGTAGCGTGCTCATAGTAACCTCTCCGAGATCATTCCATGATCCGTAAATCGTTTCCGGTTGTATAAAAGCTGTTTGTAGTGAGTCATATGCATAACGGAGTATTGGAAGGAGCAAAACAGTCAGACACCATGTTATCAGTCCGGCATTCTTTTGAACCAGAACGCAACTCGTACTTACTTCCTTACTGTGCGCAATAGCACCCTCATGTAGTTCTCCATGTTCACTTTTCTACGTTCGCGTGGAATAAAGTCTCATTTGCCTTTGTACTCTGGTTTCCTTATGAACAGTGTTTCCTTCCGATTTATTTACAGCTTTACCCTTTTGATTCTAATCTTTTTGAGAACTGTGAGCATCGGCTATGCTCTACTTTGAAGATTTGAAGAGGTAACGATGTCGTTGGCAAAAGAAAGGTTTCATTGTAATATTTCGTCAGTGTAGATGTTTTTTATCGCACCAATCAGGCGTGTGGCGCAATGGTCCGAGCCGCCCTGCAACACACACGTCGAATCGATCTCCACGCCCACGGCCCACCAAGTTGGGGTGGCATATTGGTACTAGACACTTCTGGGAGGATAGCAGCACTGACTCGATACATCGGTAGGACACTGCGGATCATTGTAAAGGTCAGATATGCATTCAATCCAAACTCATCCGAACGATGCTTAATGAAGTGGAATACATGGCGCAACCTTCAAGAATTGATCAACGCCGAGAGCTTTATCCTTTTTATCCTTTAATCAATCAGGCGCCATTGCAGTACGTACTGGAATTTGGTGATGATTTACCTTCTTGTGCAGATGATAAGGCGTTGATGGAAGAGCTGTACTTTTATGTGCGCCTGCGATTGTGGTCAGTCGGAGTTCCTACGTTTTACATGGGTGAAAATGGATGGTGTTTGTTCCAACAATGTCGAACGGTTTTTCGCAGTAAAAAAAAGGTAGCTAGCACTTCTAATCGAATTCCACCTCCCCGTTCTCTAAATAATAAATTCCCATTGGACATCATCTGCTTTTTTGGTTGTATCCCACAAAAATCTTTGAAATACCCGATAGGTAGATCATAGTAAGGTCATGAAACACGTTGAAGGCAGCTGCGAATATACTACGACCACTTTTTTGGCTAGGGTTTTGGTTTTGAAAACAAAGGTTTGAACATGTGTTGTCAAAATATTTGCAAGAAATGCGCATAGTTCAATGTTTTCCAGGAGGGAGAGTCCAAGGTTGTTGTTCTTTTGAACTTTCTGGGGGGTAGTGAGATGAGGTCTGGGAAGAACAGAGAGGTTGTAGAAAAGAGAAGAGTGAAATAGATGGGATTTCTCTAATTCCGTATCATGGTGAAGGTAATGCGATGATAGTCTTATTATCTTGTAATAGTTCCCAGGATCGACTTTCTATTAACCTCGGCATTGGAATATGAATGTGTCGTTTTCTTGTTCAGCAATCGCGAGGTTTCTAAACAGCATACATTTACTTCCATAAAAACACAATACAATACAACGCTAGCTGACGTTTCGGCAGTATCGCCTTCTTCAGAGCCTGGAAGGGTACACTGATATAAGGCCTACGCTACTAGGCCAAGCGCTTCAATAACACGTACAAACAGACGAAAAACTCTATGGCAATTACGTGATCAACAGCTTCTCGGAAAACTCACTGCTTTTTTTGTGACTTCCAATGAGGAAGTATAGGACAGCTGGATACAAAAGCATAGCGGAGACGATTTTGAAGTAAAAGTCTATATCCTTGAACAGGAGACTAAAACACCAGCGCGAAAACTTCTTGAGGCTTTTTGGATAGGTGCCAAAAACCCTGCAATGAATAGCAGGGATGAATGCTCAGAGGTCATACGTGACCTGACCCCGTATGTTCGCATCAATTTCTGATGTGGGATGGCGCAGTCATCAACCATATGCGACTATAATCAGCTGTTCTAAACTTTCTCATTGGAGGTCACGAAAAAGCGGTGGGTTTTTTCGAGAAGCTGTTGATCATGTAATTGCCATAGGGTTTTCCGTCTTTTTATAAGTGTTATTGAAGCGTTTGGCCTAGTAGATTGTATATCAGTATACCCTTCCAGGCTCTGAAGAAGGCGATACTGCCGAAACGTCAGCTAGCGTTGTATTGTATTGTGTTTTCTTTATGGAAGTAAATGTATGCTGTTTAAAAACTTCGCGCTTGCTGAACAAGAAAACGACACATTCAATATCGCCCCTCTTGGGCACGTGCTAGTAAGTAGAGGTGCCTTGTAATATGCACGTGGCTTTGGTTTGTTCATACGCCTAGTTCACCAATCCTTCCATCCTGGAGAGGTCGACAAATTGGTACCAGACGTGTGCTGGAGGAGGGTAGCAGCACTGCGTCGATGCATCGGTAAACAACCAGTAGTGATTAGAAAATCTACATATGCATCCATTAACCTCTAACGATGTTTAAAGAAATCGAATGCAAGGGACATCCCTCAGGTATTGATCAACGCAGAGAACATTTTTTTATTGGATAGGAAACGCAGCGATCCTGGTAGAAAGGCAGATAAGCTTGCTCAAATGTAGAAAATTTACACTCCAAAAAGAGTTTTGTCAAATCCAAAATATCGAGCCTGTTTTTGTCCTTTCTTTCTTTCTTCTTTGTTTACAAAAAATGGGACTATCTGCTGTCTACTGGACCAACTGAGTTTTATTTGCCAAAAAATGCCTTTTTTACGGATACTTATCTTAGTCTGTAAGATGTAAGAAGGGCGCGTGTGGTGCAGTGTTGGGAGGCGCACTGCAACACACATGTGGAATCGATCCCAGCATCGATGTCTCACCAAGACTTTCATCTCTCCGGAGTCGGTAAATTGGTACCAAACTTGTCTGGGAAGATAGCAGCACTGGCTCGATACATCGATAGGCCACTGAGAGTTATTGAGTCATTGTAAAGGCCAGATATGCATTCAATCATCTCCAAACGATGCTTAATGAAGTCGGATGCATGGCGCATCCATCAGGGATTGATCAACGTCGAAAGCTTTACTCTTCACTTTATTTTTATCCTGTAAGAGGTACAATATTGAGTATATTTGAAGAAATATGTTTTATTGCATTACGATGTTTTCATTGTAACTTAAAGAACTGTGCACTTTTTTCAGGTACCCACAGTAGTGAAAGACTCATAGAAAGGGACGAAGAGGAAGTTGAAGAAAAACTTCTTCGCACGTTGGATACGGATGCTCCTGCGATTGTGGATAACAGTTCTGAACTTCCAGAAGTGAACAGTAACTGGCTTGATGACGAAGCATTGATGATGGTATACTGCATAGTTTTCGGAGCAACCACGTTTGCAATGATGTCCCTGTTGTTGTTCGTAATCTGGTGCCGGAGGACTGGGCAGTTAGGAGGCACCAAACGCCCTTAAGACATTGACAAGCACCGATAATTTCGCTAAGGCCGTAAAACCATGAACTCATCCGCAACCTGAAAACGTCATATGCTGGTTTTCTGGACAATAGGCTCTCCTGATCTTAACACTCCTGCTGTTCAACCTAAGCTTGACAAGCCATTGATGAAACGCAAAAAAATGCGGTGAAGAAATCCTGTTTAAACCACTGAACAGGTGTGACCCTATTTCGGGTCACGTAGTCGTCATTGTGTTAGTATGCCGTTCTAATAATTTGGTCATAGCTTTCCACGAGATCAGCTTGATGTCGCTTAACTGGCCTGTTCTCTTTAAAATTACTAGTACCACTGCCAGCAGGATTCCGCTCAAGTTTTCATTTATTGCACTCGAGGCTCGTCGAATAGATGACTAAATGAGAAGAAGAACTATTTGGCTCGTGTTTTGAAACTTTCGGGTACACCTGGAAACTCAAGAAATGGTTCACTACTACGAGGTTTAATTGGTCCCATTGCTCATAACTGTTATTACAACTCTCTGTGTAAATATTGGAAGTGTTCAATAATATTCAGACATATGGAAAAATCGACAAGGTCGACAATTACCTTCCAGACTTGTTCTTTACTAAACCTTGTACTTCTACAGCACTATGCTTTTTACAATAGTCAGAGTGCTTCTAACAACCCAGTGGTTTAACTCAAAACTTGCTTGGCTTGGTTAAAATCAAACCGCTCGTGAAATCATTTTTAACACATAGGCCGTCATTTCTCTTAAGGCGCCACGGAGTACTACTTCTTTCAGTACTTTTCATTTTGTTTCCATCTCGAAGTTCATTGACCGGGGCGATCGATTTGGTCGTGAAAAACGGTTTTAAACAATCGAAGATGTACTTACTATTAGTTGAAATTGAAAAAAATGTGCTAGGTGATGCTGGGTTGCTTACTGTAACTTTTATTTATTTAATTAAGTATTTTCTCATGCATTGTTATTATTAAAGAGAAGTAACATAAGTATTGTACAGCTACTCGTACTTCTTTTATAACGAGAATAATAAATTCTTTCAACTATTCCTAAACTACAATGTTTACTTTTTATGTTTATGTTTGCTTGTTTGCTTCTACACTTTACTTTTACAATATTTATTTACTACCTACTAAATTTTTACAGCAAGGTATTATGCGAAATCAACCACAACAATGCTGAGATATTCACAAAATTTCGACCCCCGGTTCAGATCGAACCACGATTTTCCTTTCTAGGGGCTTACGCGTTACACATTGCGCCACCGAAGCCTTTGCTTTGCGCTTCTCAGCTAGCTTTTGGAATATTTCAGCATCGTTATTCATAAATCATTTCAAAACACTGAATTCACTGAAAATTGTGTACTGGGTTCAAAATACTTGGGAACGACCTATCGTTTGCAATCTGGAAGGAAGTAGGCAGCGGAGATGTTAGGCAACAATGGTTATAGAAAAAGATCTGTCTAGTCGAGAATTCTTTGTAATGCACTTATACTTTGAACTTATGTGAGACGGAAGTGTTTGCGGAACAGATCGGAACAGATTGAATGAAGAACTTAACTGAAGAATCAGTTTTCTTTCTCATCACCAACAAAGATACTTTCGGAAGACCTCTCAAATTATACGGATACGCCATCGGTTGTATAAATATAACTACTTATACGACTAGTCGTATAATTATTTAACTTCTACTTCTTTCCAAATAACGTTGGAATACTGGCAAAGGGAATCTGATAACTATGCAGACTGTCCTGCCCACCTATATCATCCACCAGACAGGCAACAGAAGCTAACTTTTGTGGGCATAATAGACTTAAGTATGGTGACTACGTTTGCTTGCCCATTGGAACTAAATAGGAACTTTAAGGTAAACCTCAGATGTGGAGCTGAAAGTTCACTTGATTATGTGAATGATCGAAGTCTGCTTGGTTAGAAAAGAAAATCCGAAAGGATGAAATGTTCGCCTCTGAATGACTAATGAAAACTTGTGCTCCTTTGAGAGAACAGTAATGCTCACCTAAAAATGATAAGATTTCAAGTCTGAGATTGACTTATAATCTAGAAGAGCATACCGGCTATCAAAAGCTCGTTAATTCTTCTTCTTCCTCTTTATTCGATCTTCTTAAGTTCACAAAGTTCAGCAAGGCAGAACGGCGACAAGTCGCGTTGCTTGAACAGGAGTCGGTTTACCGAGTGAAAAACGACCTCCATCCTCCGTAGCAAACTCGAGAAACGCGCGACTGTTTGTTTTTATTCCCACTTCTTTATCAGTTCAAGAAAGATGCTTCGCAACGCCTTCACCAGCTGGAGTGCAGACGTAAAGCTTTCCTGATCACTACATTTCTTTGAAAGTCAAAAGATATCCACTAGTACTCCACCTCCGCTTACCGTAACCTCATCACGACAGTTTTTCATTATCTACAATATTACCACAAATCTGGAATGAAAACTGCTTATCGACGAGACAATCAAGAGCATTGTGATGGGATTAGTTTGTTGATCGATCAATTTGATGGCCCCTGGACAGTTCTAGCACTCTGCAGGAGAGTTTCGGCGACAAACGAGCGCTCTCCGGGCTTCCCCAGAGAAATCGAGTCGCCATTCCGTGTCTTTCCCGCACGTTCGTCCATCAAACCACACCGTCGTGCCAATCCAGAACACCAGAACAAACCAGCTGTCGTTCACATGAAATGAACACCTGAACATTCTTCAGGGCGTTGAGCAAACAATTCGCTGCATACTCTGTAAAAACTACTTAATATTCAGGAAAATGGTACAAACGGTGGAAATTATGAGACAATTTGGCAGAACTTGTATCTGGGAAGGAAATCGCTCTGGAATTCTCCAGTTCTTAATAAAGCTAAAATGAAAATTGAGGTCACATATTCGAAATAAGAGTTCTGAAACGCCGACTTAGCCATTAAATCAGAAATAACTTGCTGACTAATCCTAACACCTGTCAACCTTGTTCTTCACTTTCACATCTCTAAACGATTAAGAGATTGCGTGCCAAGAGATACTGGATCTTGGGTACTGTAACGTATTTACACCAAAAACGCCTATAGAAGTTTCCTCCGCGATTTTACCCATTGTCGTGGATTGTGGAGATAAAGTACCCACAAGTTTCGGATTTCAGCGTGCAAGAACACTAGAGGTGTTAGTACCTTAGCAACATTCAAAACAAAAGAATAAAGTCGTTCAAAGAAGGCCTTCCGTTAATATTATGTTCGATTCACCATCGAACGAGTACAAACACTGCACAAAAAAGCAATGAAAAAGACCAAAAAAGGTCGTATATCACTTATTTCCTAGGGCCAACCAAGACTTAAACCATTCCTCTGAGCTCGACGGATACCAGTACCAGAGAAACAACTGTACGGAAGGATAGAAACACTGACTTTAACCACCGGTAAACCACCGTTAGACACTGAGCTGATAAGTATTCAATCACCTCACGCTATTAGCACTCAAACTGGGCAATTTGCCACGAAACCCATGAGTTCTATACGAGTCATATCGTCAACAGTGTGACGGTAGTGCCTCGAGTACTGAAAGTAGTACATGTGAATTTTAATAATTTTGTCTTTTTCAATGAGAAACATATTAGCTTGATAACTGTTGATGGGAACTAACTGGTTTTAATGAGTATGTGAATAACTATCTTTAATGTGTTAAACAACCACAATGATGCCGAGATATTTGCAAAATTCCGGGTCGCAGGTGTCTGCGCTGGGGAACGAGCGCGTTATTACCCTTTTCGGGGGGCTAACGCGTTCACCACCTTCCTTCCTTCCTCGCATCACCATCCACGAAGATCACTCAACTTTTACGTGGCCGGTACCAATTTCCCAACCCTGGAGGAATGAAAGGCTTGGTTAGCTCGGTGCGGAATCGAACTAGCACCATGCTCATGGTGGCCGACATCACTACCACTGTGCTATCAGCCCCATTCAATGAAGATTAAGCTAGTGGAAAATCATATTGAAAATCCATAGTGGTACTAAACACGGCGAAATTTACCACTGAATTTATGCGCTATCTATAAGCACTGTGAGGTGTGCATGCCACTTCGTATCACTTCGCAGCTTCAGTTGTTGATCAAATAACTGGTTTAAGGCCGATGAACAGCTTCACTGCAACAGTTGCGATTGAACATTCGATCACTTGGAACATAACTGGCACCTTGAAGATTTTCGACATAAAAGGCAATGATGCCTCATTTTTATTTGGACTAAGAAACGATATCAATGGTCCTGGTACCAGGATCTACCACCGTCATGGTATCGAAGTCAAAGAACACTACAGAAGCGCTCTTATTGTATACTCTCCAAACAAGTAACCCTGCCATCTCTTTTCCATTACTAATAGCACATCATAGCAAGCCAATGCTAGGATCCACTACCGTCCTGGGATCAAATTACTCGCATGGTGGCAAATCTCCTTTTGATCCACAAGGGCTGCGACTGCCTGTTGTGGTAAAGACCAGGCCCAGACTTTGACCAGGATGACCTTAGGATTCCAGAGAACCATAATGGCTTAACTGGCAAATCTCCGAAAAATGGAGATTATGCTGGGGCCCGCAAAGCTAGTGAGGACCGACCATTCAAGGATCAAGTATCAAGTAACGAGATCACTAGAAAAGGCAAAGAAAAGGAAAACAACTAAATTTCAAACTCATCGCTTTTTCTTTTACACAGGAGAAACTGATATACTGATAACTAATATTTACACAGGAGAAACTGATAATAAACTGATATAGTATACGTGGCGATGAACTTTGTCCGACAGGGGTGCATCTCTTACCAGGCCTCGTGGCGTTCACGTGAATTTCCGATGCTGTCGGTTCAGTCCTCGTCGGGAGGGGTTGCTTGCACTTGACGGGAACCAGTTCCGGGTTACAACAACAAACAACAAGCTGCCGCACACCTGCGCCGATACCAATCCATATTTCATGCGTCCACGGCTGACGGGTGCACTTTTATATAAACAACATCCTTTGCTTCAAGACATTTAGATGACAATAATACTAGGTAACAGCAAACAATAACAATAATAATTATGGTAGTAACAGTAATAGTAACAATAATAGGAGTAATAATAGACAATATAGTAGCCCTGTAGGGCGCGTGTAGAGCAGTGGTCGGAGAGCCACTGCAACAGACGCGTGGAATGGATCTCCGCACCCGTGGCTCACCCAGCCTTCCATCCCTACGGGGTCGGTAAGTTGGTTGGTACCAGACTTGTCTAGGAGCATAGCAGCACTGGCTCGCTCGATACATTGGTAGATCACCACGAGTCAATGGTAAAGGCCAGATATGCATTCAATCACCTCGAAACCATGCTTAGTGAGGTCGAATGCATGGAGCATCCCTTAAGGATTGATCAACGCCGAGAGCTTTACCCTTAATCCTTTTATAGTAGCGCTGTGTAACAATTGCTACTTAAAACTACGGTTATAGCAATGGTAATTATAAAGGTTAGGAAGTTTGAAGCATAGTGGTTAGAGATCCCATGCAGTACTCACGTTGTTACTCATTAGCGTAGTCAGCAAGCCTCCCGTCACTCCTAGGTCGGGAAATTGGTGCCAGATCTATTTGAGAAAAGATCTCTGTGTTCCACAAAGATTACGCTTTCCTGTAGTGAAGATCCGGGAAACCACTGGCGTAGCTATTCTGGGATTTCAACGGGAATCGAACTAACGGGCGTTGAACGATACTCATGAAAGAAGCAGAGACCTCACTTGGTAGCCGTTTCGACACACGAAATCGGAAGGCTTTCGTAGGTGCAGCAGAACGAATCGGGTGAAAGAAGTGCTGGTATTCGTACAATATGTGAAACTTACTTGGAGATTTGCATACTTGGACGGTCCGTCTTCACGAGCTTTCGGACCCCAGCACATATGCCATTTGTTCCTTTCTCTCGCAATTATAGTCCATGGTGGTGGTCTTGTTGGAGCATGGTCGCGCTTGCGAGTCTCATACCGTGATCTGTAAAACAACTGCAGCTACGGACACAACTGATTAACTTTGTTTACGAACACGTCCGTCCAACGTGTAGGTGGTCGTCCAAGGTGATGTTTGCATTCTCTTGAAGTCCACTCTACTGTTCTTTTCGTCCAGCCGCCCTCTATTCTTCTCATTATGTGACCGGTCCATCTATGCCTCGCTGTCGATGTATATTCTCCTGGATCTCGAAGATGTGACAAATTTCGAAGGTTAGAGCTTCGCATTCCTGCTACATCTTGAGAGCGCCGGTTATATTTCAGAAGACATCGCTCAAGCGCTCTGTGAGTAGTTCGAACCATTCTTAACGTAGTTGAAGTATCAATCCACGTCTCTGCAGCATAACAGAGCGCTGGGAGGACCGTAGAATAAAAGAGATGAGCGCGGATTTTCGGGTCCTTCAGTTGGTCGGTGGCTTCCATCAGAGGCTCAAATGCGGCCCAAACTGTTCCCCTTCTTCTATCTAGCACCTCCTTCATGTTGTTTTCCATGTTCGTTGATCGCCCAAGGTAAACATACGAGGTGGTCTCTGCAATGAGAGAACCATCTGGTTCAATTTTTTCGCCTTCTTACCATGGATTTTTCATGAACTGGGTCTTCTTTCGATTTATGCGAAGTCCGATCTTTTTGCCCGCTTCGTTGAGCTCGTTGATCATCACCTCTGCTTCGCTAGTACTACTTCTTGAGAAGATGACAATTTCGTCGGCAAAACGAAGGTTTGATAGGAATTTTCCATCAATACGTATGCCTTTCTCATCCCAATCGACTGACTTCATTATCCACTGCAGTGCAGCACTGAACAGCTTTGGCGATATTGTGTCGCCCTGTCGAACCCCCTTTCCTATGGGTATTGTAAGAGGTCGATGGAAAAGCTGTATTTTCGTAGTGCATTTCCGATAACAGTCAGACAGAGTCCTTAGGTAGGACGGGTCCACTCCTTGGTCGACGAACGCTGATAGGATTGCATTCGTTTCGACACTGTCAAACGCTTTCTCATAGTCGACAGAGGTTAGGACTAGAGGGAAGTGATATTCCCGACAAACTTAGACGGCCTTGGACACGGCTTGGATGTGGTCCATGCAGCAAAATCCTTTTCGAAATCCTGCTTGCTTAACTGGTTGTGCCTCATCCAATCTCCTTGATATCTGAGAGAGGATATTCTTCGTGAAGAGGTTGTAGATTACATTTAGAAAGCACATGGGACGATAGTTACGAAGATCCCTTCGGTCTCCTTTCTTGGGCAGGATGACCGAGCGCGAAGTCTTCCACTGGTTTGAGATTTTTTCCTTTTGAAGGTAGTCTGTCATATGATCTGTGAGAAGTACATGTAAATTGTGGCCTCCAGTCCTAAGGCCAGTAATATTATCGGGTCTTGGAGCGGTGCCTGTTTTCATGCCTTTTATCGCAACTCGAACCTCCGACGGAAGAATTCCAGGTGGCTTTTCTCCAGCGGGGATATTAGGGCCCGGAAGGGGGATTATGGAACGGGAAAGGTTGGTGTAGAACGTTTCCGCTATTAATTCCATATCATGGCGGGAAGTTTTGACGATCCCATCGTCTATAAAGCCAAGATATTTGCAAAAATCCAGACCGCAGGTGTATGCGGTGGGACTAGCAGAGAGACAGACAAAGCGAGGGAGCCGGATGGTGCGGTGGTGAAGTGCGCTACTCCCTGGTAAGGACAATAGCGCGCGTTCGTTCCCCATCGCAACATACACCTGCAGTCCGGAGTTTTGCAAATATCTCAGCATTATATACGAGTTATATTTCGCAACATACCCTGCCATTAAAAAGAAAAAGGCAGTAAATAAAAGGGTTAAGACTGTGATCCCATCGTCGTTCATCAAGGCTGACAGCGGAACATTATAATCACACAAGTCCCGACGGCATTTTTTCAGACTGCTTCTTTTCTCTGCTGCTTCCAGTATTTTCTTCTGCTTATACCGTTGTAGATCTTCCTGTAAAGCTCTTCTGCAGCTGTTATTTATTACTAGCCATGTAAAACATGTTGCAGTAGGATCAAGCTTCAGTTTCCTTCTCTTTTCGAGCAACCCCTTAGTAGTGATGGACATGCGATCCGATCTTCTTGCTTGAGGAACTGAGGCGAATTCGGCACAGCCTTTCAGTCCTTCGACAAGCAGCTCGTAGTCTTCAGTCAGGTCGTCTTTAATCTGCCAGTCACGTTTGGACAGGACTTCGTTCAGAATGTTCTCGTCGTATACAGCTAGACTTTTTCCTCGTGGTCGATGAAGAGAGTTCTTTTCCAGCTTGCGGCTGAATCGAATCTTCGAGCGAATAAGGCGGTGATCGGAACCAGTACAGAATGACGAAGCTACTGATGTGTCAAGTAGGCACCATCTTCTGTCTCTCAGAATATGGTCGATCTCAGCATGAGACATGCCGTTGGGAGACTCCCATGTCCAACGGTGGCTTTCTTTCTTCTCAAAAAACGAGTTTCCATGGAAGAGACATGCTGCTGATAGGAGTCCTGCGAGGCGGTTCCCATTCTCATTTCTTTCTCCTAATCCAAAATTTCCGACCCTGTATCCGTTCTCGTTGGTCTTTCCTATTCTGGCGTTGAAGTCTCCAACAATATAAAATATACAAGATAAAATATGTGAAATTAGGTTATATAATTGAAAAATAATAATAATGGCGACAGTGGTGATAACAATAAACGACAAATGACAGCAACAACGTTGAAGATGCTGAATTTTGGCTGGTCTCTTGTATTCATATTGTTGACAGTACCTACTTCATATGCCGGATGATGTAATAAAAAAGTATAAAGCTCCCGGCGTTGACCAATCCCTGAGAGATGCGCCATATATTCGACTTCATTAAGCATCGTTTGGAGGTCCATACTGACTGAATGACTGAATGGTGACTGAATTCATATCTGGCCTTTACAATGACTCGCGGTGGTCTACGGATGTATCGAGCCGGTGCTGTTATCCTCCTCCCAGACAAAACTGGTAGGAATTTGCCGACCCCGGAGAGATGGAAGGCTTGGCGGAGCTTGGACACAGGGTTCTATTCTACGTATGTATTGCAGAGCGCCTCCGACCACTGCGCCGCATGCGCCCTATGGTGGAATGAGAATACCTAAAATACTTAGTTCTAATAAGTTTACATGTGAAACTCTAGTCTTTGACTGTGAGGAAGAACACCTACTGCCAAACGCTTTGCGCATGTTACCAGTACGACGTACAATCTATTAGCGTTCTGAGAAAATATCGTCTTCGCGCTTCACTCAAGAATTCCCGACATTCTTTCTCTTTCTCGCAACACTCAGCCGGCTGCCAGAACGATACGTGGCGCCCACATGTGACCTGAAATTGCCAGACTGAGGTGTTCCCCCGTCGCGGGCCGTCACGTGCATACCACGTGGCGACTGAGTGTGTGGGAGCGGGGACAGTCCGCACGGGGCCGAGCGATCGATGGCGAGGCGAGCAGCGGAGGGAACCGACGATAGCCGGCGGCACTGACCGCTTGTCGACGACGGTCATCCACTCGGCGGTCGTCGTCCTTCTGAAGCCGTTCGTCGTGTTCGCACACGAATCCACCTTATTTCGGCAGTTCTTCATTGCTTGAATGAAGTATAGATAGCATACTACAGTTTCTTCCTTCTCATACCTGCTTTTGTAGCTCCTTACTCCCTAACTGTCATTTAACACTACAGTAGTTTGGTATTCACTTAGTCGTCTGACAACCAAAAACCGTTAGACCGTAGACAGATAGCGGGTTTGATTTCGGATGAGAAACATGACGAGTGTTCTTCGCATTTTCCCTCCAGTAGACGGTAGACGTCCTAACACACCTTACCTAACAAGGATTTGGGATTTCCGGATTTCCCTGATGAAATTTATCCCTCTGACTTATTTTTGCAGCCCTATTATAGTAAATGTAATTTATTTCAGCAAATGTTAGATTTCGTAGAAATTTCTCCACGGAAAGAACTAAGAAGCACACAAGATAGGGTTTTAATAAGAGCATTTATGTTTGATGCTTATGATTTTTCAACACCATCAACATCGTCGTTTAAGACATTGCTGACGAGGTGAATCACATGTGATTCACCCGCTGCTGGTTAGATTGGCCGAGGTGACTCGTGTATGACTCGATTTTTTGTCATTTATTTAATCTGATGGAACCTTTTTGCTGCACTTTTTGTAATCATTCGATAGCTTATCAGACGGAGATGTTGTAAAGGTTGTCGTTCGAGATAAGCTCAGTTTTGCACTTGCAAAAGTGCAAATAACCAATCTACAGCAAATTAGCCGTCGTACCATTCGCCAACCACACAAAATCGGCACTAAGGGTGGGTTAGTTTTCCCTTAGCTAAAGTAAACACATAATCTGAACAGTTGAATTAGCGATTGACATCCATTTTACTGCTTTTCCTTTGGTTTGTTGCTCTCGTCAGTGTTCAAGGTTCAGCACGCATGGAATGCGCCGTCTTTTACATGTTATCGTTGCTCACTCACTTTGTAGTCAATCGATAAATGGGATAGAAAAGGACAGAACGGGTTTTTCATGAGCAAAACAGTGCGACGATCGTCCAAAAAACCCCGATCGACTGGCAGGGGGCAATGTTCCCGCGATCTTTGGACTGACCTCTCTGGCTGACTCGGACACCACCGCACCGTTGCTCCGTGGGTAGCGGGCACCCACGGGTTCACGCCGAGACGCCGGTGTCCGACGACTGACGTGCTGCTTCCATATCGGTGTTATTCATGAAACACTGGCTGTGATCTTCAGATATAGTCTTGAGTTACTGTAGCCAGTTTTACACGTGAAATCTTCCAAGCAGAAACTTGAGAGCCATGAGTTAAGAGGCGTGCTTTGTGCATCGTTCAGCAGCATTCAACATTCAGCATTTTTCCTCTGGCCCCCAAAGTTCAGAAAATCATGAGTAGATGTGCGAAAAAGTTACTGTTAAATACAGAAATAACGTGGCGGGTCTGCAACTGACCATTGTTATTGGACAAACAGCACGACGAGTTCACACTTAGACGATCTTTCTACTTGATAACAGTGCTGTGATGACTGTTTTGACTGACCCAGCCACCATGTGCCTTCGAATATATATCTATGTACATGTTCTTACGAACTTCCCTAGAACTCTGATGCGAGGTTGGTGTATGTTGTTGTTGTTGTGTTGCTGTTATTCAGTGGCTGACGTTTCGACGACTTCGTCTTGACGACGTCAGGGCCTGGACGTATTTTATGTAACGACACCTTTATAATTCGATGAAATTTCTATAGTATTAATGAAGATTTGACATGTAAATTGAGTCCACTTTGTTTGAAATACTAAGAATGCTGCTGCAAGTGGGACCACCCGTGTGTTGTTCACGTGGGATGACGACTGGGACCTACCCAGCTTGGAAACCCAATTTGAAATGGGATGCCAAGTCACGTGTGATAGTGACGCATTCGTCTTTTCGGTTAATTTTTGGAGTTTTGAAATCTATCCAAAACACCTCAAGAGTCTTACGCGTTAATGTCTTTGACTCCTGCGCTAGGATTCAGACAATCACTTCGAAATCACCACCGTTGTGCTTACTGCCCTCTGTGTGCCTAGAGGAGTACTTTGGAGGTTTTTGAGCTTCCCATTTAGATGTTCTTTTATACTGACACAAAGTGGTCTACCAGTTCCCCAATGTATTTTTCACCGCACGCCTTACATGAGATCAAGTGTATTGTAACTGAACTCTTTCAATCCCCGTCTCTCCCCTTAGAGCAGATTACACACTTTTCTGAGCTGCACAAACGATCGTAGAGTTGACGACGGACTAATTGACGGTGTAGCGTATTGGGTAAGAGGTCAGTGACTGCCATAGAGTTTTCAAGATCACTTTTTCATTTTTTTTCGAATATAACTTTCGAATATGCTTTCGTTCTAGCGTTTCATTTCTTGAAAACACATGAGAGAGGCATTTTTCATTACTAATCTACCCTACTTTTACGCCAGCTTTGTCATGCTTAGGGCGAAGAACCTGCAGCTCATTAGTTCTTTTTCGTTCAAGATATCTTGACCGTCAGGATTTCAGTGTTCTATATCTTGTTAAAATATGAACCCTACTCTCTTATTTCGTTGTACTACCACTTTAGCAACTTTTATGATCGTTGCCCTATGCATTTGAGGTTAACGCGAGTTTTTCTTTAACTATAAAAAGAGGGTTTTCTAACGTTATTCTTTGAAATCGATATACATGCTTCGAATTAGTTTGCAACAGTAACAAATTATGAGGAACGAACTTCAACTCGAATTTCAAGACTGTTTTATCCACCTGGATCACGCTATCGTCCCATTCGTTGATCGTTGAGTGGCTCGAGCAGATGCCATTAAATTTTCCATTTCTCCCTGTCGGCTGCAAGAGTAGCGCAGTGGGTTCTGCTCGATCTAGGGACTCCTTGTGCACCATATCTTCGTCCCGGGACTTTCTTGAAAAACTCGGACTGTCGGATCGATGGTTTTTCTGGTTTGAGTTTGAAATCCCGAGATATACAGTTGCCAATAGCTGTTGCCCATCGGTTGTCATTCATACGCATTATGTGTCCGGCCTATCTTATCTTCGAGCGTTTGGCGCAGTGAACGGCATCTTTGATTTTTGATCGTCCACGCAGATCGGAGCCTCGGATCCTTTCTCTCACTTTTGTGAAACGGGATACTCCTAGCATCGTCCTTTCCAATGCGCTTTCGATAACGCTGAGTGATCTTTAATTCTGCTTACTCAGCGACCAGGTTTCTGACGAACACGTTGAGGCAGGAGGAATCGTGGAGTCGAAAAGGTGAGCACGGAGTCGGATCTTCCTTCTTCTCTTCACTACATCCTCGAAGATCTTGAAAGCTTGTTGATTTCTCGACTTAGATAGACATACCTGGAAAATGTGGAGATATTCGAGATATTCGTTCCATTGAACGTTAATGGGGCATACGAAACCAATCCGTTTCCGATGAACATCTTTTTTGTGAGATTTAGTCGAAAACCAATTTTTCCGCAAGAGTTATCAAAGTCGGACAACATGCGATCCGCCTAGCTAATGCTTGGTGTTATAGAAGTGATGTCATCAGCAAAGCGACGGTTCTATGATTGCCGGCCGACGATTTGCATTCCCATTTGTGCCGACGATAATTGCCGTTGTCGTGTAGTTCTCCCTTTTTCAACATTAACAGAGTCTTACTGGTCTTCCGTTGAATAGAAACCTTGCACTCTGACAGGTAACTTGTGAAGGGACAAGCAACTGTGTTGGTGAGGATTAGCGGAACGTTCTTTAAGTGTTCAGGTCTTATTCTGTACGCACCTACTGTTGTTCGGTTCTCCACCGACGAAATAATATGTTGGATTTCGGAAGTGAGAACGGCTGGGACGACTTAATAAGCCTGAATGGTTTTCCCCATTGCTTTTCTGGTACGTGTAACAGTTCCATCTGGGAGTCGGACTACAGTCATCAAGGTTTCGTTACTAGCGATTTTCCGGTGGGCTTTGCGAATGCTTTCTCAGCATCTGCAACTTCGACCATTACTGCTGCTCTTCTCTAAGATCTCCTTTTATCACATCTGCAATGTCTTGCTAGTTCGGACGTGAGTTGGTGATTTACTGTAGCTCGTGCGATTCAGTGTTCGCGTATCAGCTCTAGTGTTTCTGGAGACAGACGTATCTTGGTGACTTCTGAACTCTCAGCTTTGATAACGCTAACGTGAAGATGTTGAATGAGCCGATCGCATTCTTTGTCGATGTTATCAGGAACGGTGTCTTCCCAACAACCAACTAATGAACTGAATAAGTCACACTTCATAGTTATTTTGGGATTTCGTTTCTTGAATTTAGCAGCCTTTTCTCCTTTCCACGAGAAATGAAATCTTGCACGGAAGGCGATGCTCTGATCTCGTGTAGAATTTTAAGGCAACAACGACATCGGTAGGACAAAATCTTTGATTTACTATAATGTGGTCTAGTGGTTACGGTACTCTTCATTGGGGACTCTCATGTACAAACGGTGAAAGTGGAGCTTCTGAGATTGGGAATTACCATGAATGGCCTTGGTCATCATTATAAACTCAGACAGCTGCTCACCCTGCTCCTTCTATTCTAATTCGTGGATCCCAATGTGACGTTCTTCAGAAGTTCTTCTGGGTACAATCTTAGCGTTAAAATCTTCGATGACGACATTAAAGAATGTATGGTGTTCTCTGTAGAACTTCTCCAAGTCCATACAGAATGCTTCGATTTCGTCTTCGTTATAGTTTGATGTTGATGCTTAGACCACAAACAATGTCAAAGCCGGTGTTCGTAAACATTTATCACACCGGAAAAATCGGGTTCGGGCTATTAGTTGTTCGAAGGATCCATGTTCATGGCCAAACTCGTGTTGACGGAAATGTCCAAACTGCCGACTCCTCTACTGTCGCACGTTCTCAAGAACAGTTCTCCGATGTCATAGACCGTGTTGTATGGACGGCATCTTCTCATCTCTGCCAATTGGAAGATGTCGTACCTCCTTTATCCTTCTTGCCTGCATGATGAAGTCCTCTATCGAGGACTCAGATGCCAGCAAGCGTGTATTGTGTGCACTTCGTCTCAAGCAAGATGGATCCGACCAGCGTTAGTGGAGTTCAGTCAGTTCCGTACAGTGACAAAAAATCCTCTTCATACACAATCTCGCCGCTCTTTCCCTTCCTCCCTCTTCTCTATTGTGACCCAGCAGTCAACTAGTAAAAAAATGAAGGACAAAGCTCTCGGCGTTGATTAATCCTTGAAGGATGCGCCATGCATTCGACCCCATTAAGCATCGTTTGGAGGTGATTGAATGCATATCTGGCCTTTTCAACGACTCGCGGTGGGCTACCGATGTATCGAGCCAGTGCTGCTATCCTCCCAGACAAGTCTGGTACCAATTTACCGACCCGGAGGGATGGAAGGCTTGGTGGACCAGAGGCGCGGGGATCGATTCCACGTGTGTGTTGCAGGACGCCTCCGACCACTGCGCCACACGCGCCCTTACCATCAGCTAATTTGAAAAATAAATAATTGAAATAAATATTAATCGGGAACTCACTGTCGCCATTTCTTTATCATCCTGTTGATGACAAGTTGTCGTTTGCCTGCCCGTCATACTGCATGATGAAGAACAACATACCATCCAGTTTTTAATTTCACTCGTTTTTTTCTCAAACCACACCCCTTTGGCTCTTGTTGTCAAATACTTTGGCTGTCATCGGATGAGCTAATCTAAATGAAAGTAATTCAATGTTTTTCATCAATAAGCAGACACGAGGTTGTTAATATAGAATGAAAAAAAAATGAAAGTAGACGGTAGCGTGGACTGGCTTTCATGTAGTGCCATATTCGACCCTATTTTAAATGATTATTCGTTTTTCAAGAAGAAATTCGGAGGAAAAACACCGAAATCCTCCACAACATCGGCGGGAGCACCGAAGTACTTTCTGTCAAAAACGTTCTTACCTTCACTTCACTTTGGTTTCTTTTTAAATGCCATAAGTACTTGCTTCTCAATAAGTTTGTAGATTGAAGCGTAGGCTTCTCCTAGGGTTGCTGCCGCATCTCGTGGAAATTTTGGAAATTACGAATTGCAGTGGTTCGAATGCAAGGGATAGGTATTGATTGGTTTGCATCAGTGCCGCCTGTATGTGACGTTCGTTTGTCGTTCGACTAGACATTTTCGGTTGAGTTCGATCATTCAGTTCTCGATCACCTTAGTTCTGTATTTCATATAGGCTCAGGTAGATAGTTTTTCCTCTGTTTTGTCTTCGATCCTGTGGTACTCCTACATCAGCGTATCCTTGCTATCAACATCACTGAATTCTGTGTCAGAGTTTGACCAAATCTGTAACACTATTGGACCCTTTGGTGGTTCTTGTTGAATTGGTTACCGGCAGTGCTAACTCAGAGTGACAACTAAGTAGTTCTAAATTTACAACTTAAATTTGATATTAAGTAAATAAAGAACAATCTACTAGTGAAGATTTCGCATTAAAACTATTTCGGTTCGAGAGCACGAGTTTCTGAACTCTGTTAAAAACCAGTGCTGCTTTTTTACAAAAGTGCATAATTGTTAGATTTCTTAGCTGAGGGACTATTAGAGCAGAGTTATAACTTGTAGTTCTATTGCTCATTCGGTTAAAAATCGCGTGCTTGTTTGAATGAAGAGGCTTCCCGCTTTTGTTTTGTGATTTTTGTACACCTCCACTTTTGTAGTGAGTGTGAGGAACTGGACACAGTTTCATCACACAAGCGCGTAATCTATAGAGAGTGATACAAGTGTTAGTTTTGAAACATAGAGGTTTTCAGTGTCAACAGACTCTTGGGAGGGACGAGTGTTGATGATCTGCTAGTGGGATGTTCAGTCCTCATTAGTTCTTCGCCATGGGTGGAGAAGTGCCTTCACACTAACACTAGTGGGTTTCCGTGAACTAGGAAGAGCTGCTATCGTCTGAACGCTGTTTGGAATCATGTGATTTTTTCGTGTCAGCATCGTATCCTCAGTGATATCTCAATTATATCAGGTGCTATCGGCTCTATATATGTGCGAACTGCTCCTTCTGAATTCATTCGTCGTCCGCCGCCGTACTTTCGGTAGTTCGCGTTTCGGCACAGTTTGCACTTCAGGAATTCTTTTCAGATTTTATTTTATTCTTAGTGGTCGTAATGTTTCACAGTGCTACATCAGTAGAGCTGATTCTCTTAGCTCTGAAATGCTGTGCTGTTCAGTTGTGTGCTATTTGAAAGATACAAATCCAAGAAAACTACTCTGTTTTAAAATGGTAAGGTTCCAGCAGGCGATCACATGGACAAGTGAGTTGGAAGTTTCGCCAAGCTTAGATCTTTCCGTGCTCTGTATTACAGTGTTACGAATGAGATGTTGCTCTTAATAGCAGACAAGCGAAAGCTTCCGTGCTATTTGAGGACAACAAAAGTCTGTTTTGTTCCTTCACCAGTCACTGAAACTCACTGGTCTTGGGCACGCTTTTTCACTTTCCAGCGGAATATATGAGCGGAATCTGACTGTGGTTGCGCTTCTTGATGATGTTGATGAACACCGTGAATATTGTCTTCTGCTTTGTGTGCTTCGTTCTGCCAATATCACAGATCATCATATCTGAGCTTCCGAATCCTCACTGTTGTTGCCATTTTGAGATGATTGCACTGAAGTCGGCTCTACGTCTGCCTCGTGGTCTGAGCGTGGAATGGGTGGACGGCATGACGGCTCAATTCACCAACGTCTGGCTGCGCGACAACAGCCTGCACATGAGACCCTCCCTCATCCATCTCGACCTCAATCCATGCCCTCAGGTAAACAAAGTACTGCATCCAACCTCTACTACTTTATACTAGTAGAAGTCTTGACAATAAAGTAGCTTAAGAATCGACTTTCATTAGTTCAACATAACAATAATCAGTACTTTCCTAAATGATTGAGCTGATACGAGGTTGGTATGAGAAATTTGGTTCGGCTAACATTTCAGCGCTTTCGCCTTCTTCAGAGCTGGATTGATCCGAGTCGATGTTCCACAATTGGCCATTGTCGAATCCACTGGAGGGAGTACCACTCGAATGCGGGCTTAAAAACGAATAAAAGTTTTTATATCAACCTCGTGTCCATTCAATCATGGAAAATTCGAGGAGCTGTTCAAAAAAAAGGAGACAGTAAGATAAGTATCGAAAACCGTTCACAAGGATAGTTAATGACAAACTATTCAGAACGTAGCACAAACGTCGAGACTAAACCCCTCTTTTCCTTATTCTATTTGGTAGGATAAAAAAAGAAATGTTTGTCCCTGATACACCGTAATCTTCGAAGCTCATGCTTACCCAGAGTAGTATTAAAATTCCTATCATTTGCGAATCTGCCTAGAGCTCTGAAAATGAATATAAGATAATTAGTATCTAGGAAATTAGAATAAAATTAGGGAAGAAGAATAACGAATTTCAGTACCTCATCTTTTTTTGATAGAGGGTCGATCTCACTGGTAACTGCGTTTCGCTGGAATGGCCGCCGTTCCTCAGAGCTGACTTCTCTAGTGAATTTCTTCGCTCGCACAGTACCATCAAACCTGGAACGAATCCCTGTAAAGTACCGAACAAAAAGGTTTGGTTAATTTTTTTCTGCTAATTTTCTGGATTTTTTTTAATATGGCGTGTTTTATGTTCTAACGAAACCTTGGCGAATCCAACAGAGACCGGGCACTATAGTGTACCGTGATATCGGAGCGATGATCTGGAAAGAGCCTCTGGTGATCAACGGCACCGTATGGCCGCATCTGCAAAAGGTACTTAACTTCCACACGAATACTCGATTACGATGGGATACAACTAGAAGATCCAAGTAAGTTGTCGAAGACAAAAATATTTATCATCATCTAAAAATCCAAAATGGACATTGGTAGTACGTTGTGGCAGTACAGTCATATGGGCTGACTGCGATTTCTGCCAAGCCGCAATTCATCATCCTCATCTGTTTATGAAGTTGTTTCGTTATTACTGCAAGAAATCCTGTCCTGCTATGTCGATGTACTACCGAAATTCAAAAAGCGGAAGGTTGCAGTTAACACTGAAGCGATGGGTGGTCTTGCTGTCCTTTCAAAGAAAGGTCATCGTTGAAAGTCCAGCAGTTTAATAACTCCACGCGAGGTCAATCTGTAGTACAAAAATTTGTGAAAGTAGTCTTGGTTTTCAACGAGCGATTATATGGCGAAGCGAGTGAATCTTAGCGAAGTTTTCATTTGTCCCTCACGTGCCACTACTATTCTATTTGCTCGAGAAACAAGAAGTGAGTGCACCATCAAAATTTTTTCTTCTTCAGTACTTCGTCAATACTCTGGTTAACTCTCGAATGCGCTATCATCCTACTGTTCAGCCCAAGGAATTAGTCGTTCATCTTGCTGAATTGGCCATGCAGAATGCATGGTTTAAGGATTCGGACATTCGGGCCTTTGTGCACATCGTTTTCTTTGAACTCAGCCGTTAACAGATTTCTTCATATGATCATCATTGAAATTGGTCAGAAATCACTTCATCTGTCCATATTTAACTGTTCGTACGAATTGAATCAGAGCAGAAGTGAGAGGTTGTCATCTCTTGGAGGTCATCTACCTGTGTCCCAGGGCAGTACATGGTATGCGTTGTTCTTCGCAGAGTCATAACCCAGGGAATGCACTACTTGGCCTCGTCACGTCACCCAGATAGAGAACATATGCCTGGTCGTGGACAACTATAACATTCTCATTTCCCGTTATCTCTTCTTCAGTTTGATATTGACATCGTTGTTTGGAAAGCTGCATCTTTTGCTTATAATTTTGATTTACAATGCGTACTTGTTGAACGAACACATAAACATATATCGTTGCAAAAATACTAGAGAAGTACATTTCTCAGTGTAATGTATCGGCTGACCTCTCTTCACGTCTAGTTCTCCATTTTGTTGCTGTTCAGACAGAATGCTGACGTTTCAGATCCCCTCGGTGGTGACGGTGGAGACGCGATTCGGCGGCGCGCGAGTTAGTCTAGTCGACTCGATAGCGGCGTTGAAGAGGATGCGCGACGAACACCCACTCTACTTCAAGTTCATGCTCGACAATCCTATCGAATATGAACATGCGTTTTTCAAGGCCACACATCATCTAGCAAATGTTGACAACAACGGTATAGTCTCAGTGAGTGCTGCCGATCACTTGATATTAGAGAAAACTGGTAGTCGTGAATAAACAGGTAGCTCGGACACACACATAGCAGTAAGTGTTATGTTCGCTATCCTCTGTATGCCAAAATGTGCCAAAAAAGGTTCTGGAACTAGGCTTGTAATTTCTGTACAAGAGAGGAACGTTTTGATGGGGCACTTTTTGTGCAAGCTAGAAACATGAGAGTAGTGATCACCTTTCGAAGGTGGCGAAGCGTGCTCATAAGATGTCCCGCACTTCAACCCGCCTCAGTGACGCTCGATTTTGATGTCGTTGTTGATACGGTCGTTCTAAGCCAATGTTTATATGCGTATGTATAACATTATATATATATATATATATATATATAGTGTTATGGGCGGGTAGCACAGTGCTAGTGAAGTCTGTCACCACGACCGTGGTGTTAGTTCGATTCCGCCCAGAGCCAATCAGCCTCTCATCCATTTTGGTTCGGGAAATTGGTAGCGGACTTGTCTGGGAAAAAATCACTCCCTGAAATCCAGTTGGGAACGCTCCAGCCCGGTTATCTCAGGACTTCAGGAGAATTACTCGCCCGGCATTCTACGACATTCAAGACGAAATGAAAATCCTTAAGCAACAACCGAAGCCACATTGGAAGATCTCCGTGAATAATTGGAGTGAGGAAACGAATCGAATGTGAGAAGTGCCAGGATCCGCACAGTAGACGTGAAGACGGATCAAATAAAATAAAATTTGCATAAGTATAATCTTAACTTTCTATTTGCTGCTCACTACAATTTGTCACGCCAGCATAGTATGTGAAATACAACCATAATTACTTGATACTTGATACTTGAACTGTCCGTCCTCACTAGCTGTGCAGACCCCAGCATAATCACCATTCTTCGAAGATTTGCTGGTTTAGCCATTATGTTTCCCTCGAGTACCGAGATCAATCCCGCCAAAGTCTGTCCCAGGTTATCACCACTACAGGTAATTGCCGCCGTTGTGGAACAGAGGAAGATTTGCCACCATGCGACTAGTTTGGTACCAGGACGGTGGTGGATACTGGTATTGGTTTACTCTTAGATAAGTTTCCTGGTGGAAACGCCCGACTCCTCAACTTAGGAAACCTTGCCGGGGGGACGAATCCACCCGTAGTACATCGCAGTTCGATACCCAGGAACATCTCCCATTCGCGATGAGGCGGTAAACCGTTAGGAGGACAACCATAATTAAGCTGAAATGTTTGTAAAACTCTGGACCGCAGCTGTCTGCATTGGGCAACGAACCCGCTGCTACGCTTCTCGGGGGCTAACGCGTTCAATACCACACCATGCAGATCCATCGTTTCGCCTATCTCTCAGCTAGTCTTCTATCTACCAGTGCCAACAGCGGTCACCCGTCAGCGGGATTGATCTGGGGAACACAAGTCGACATTGAACGTGGTTAAGTTGAGGATTTAGTTGAAATCACAATGCTAACTTTGCGAACACAGCTTCATTATGGTTGTATATATATATATATATATATATATACATGTAATTTATTTGTATTCTCATGTTTACAAATTGTTCCAGGCAGTTTTCAATAACGACTTCCGATCCAGCCACATGACCACCAACAATCATGATCTGTTCTATCGCAGTTTGAAGTCATTCTATAACATTTGTTGCGAGACACAGCAAGAAGTTTACATCAATTCGGACGAGTTACTCGTAGTTGATAATTCGCAGACCCTTATCGGAGCACCTGCACAATGGAGCAGAGAGATACGCGTTCGTGTATTTCCTTGAACTTTCGTAGTCTTTTTTTAGGTGCGACTAATCCATTAGTTAAAGAGTATATTTGTCTTAGCTGGACACTAAACAGCTTGCAATGGTCGCTGCAAATTAGACCGAAGTCTGTAAGTAGATAACATGTCGCCTGTATTTTCGCGTCGGCATGCAAAGTTCGCATAGCGATCGAGTGGTGGTGATGGCCATCATCTGCCACTTACAGTACCCTCTCATCTAAGTACTACGAAAACTATCGTCGTTCACCATTTCTTAAAACGTATATTTCTTCATGTTGTATTTGTATACTTGTAGCTTTTCTGTCACTGCACTTTGATGAAATCTCTCGGAACTTGTACGTATTTCCATTTTGCTTTATGTATTGTGCTCTTTCAGGAGTTCTAAATATTTGTTTGGAAAGTATTACTGTACACAAAAATGTTGTCGAAATCATCATAACATTACTTGGAAGCTTTGTGTTTCAATGTGTCTGCATAACATTGTATTGAGTGTAGTATTGTACTTCTACTTTGACATTATTCATATTGTCTTAATAAAATTGAAATTTTATTAACTGCATAGATGTGGTGCGGCTATGGATGACTTCGTTCGTAGTTGCGTACTCGAAAATCTACCGTACCACTTTGTTGTCGAATTTCACCAATGTTTTAACGACATTTGGTGAGTGTAACACTGAAGAAATGGCTTGCATCTATAGCAGTAGATGGATTGCATAATTGTGAATCCTTCCTCAAATCTGTAACGAAGTAGGACTTAGTTACTTGGATACTTTGACGACTCGGCATAATTTCCATTTTTTGGAGTTTTGCTGGTTTAGCCATTGTTTCCTTAGAGTCCCGAGATCAACCCGGCCAAAGGTTCGCTCCAGGTCATCGTCACCACCACAGGCAGTCGCCGCCTTTGTGGATCAGAGGGAGGTTTGCCTCTATGCCAGTAGTTTGATGCCAGGACGGTGGTGGATCCTGGTATTGGTTTACTCACAGTTGGGCTTAGTGATGGAAACGCCGAACTAATTCTCAGCTTGGGAGACCGTGCTGGGGTGATGAATCCACCACATCACATCGCAGCCTAACACTCAGGAACACTTCCCAGCCACGACGAGGTGGTAAACCACTTGGAAGGAATTTGAGTTTAGAAGTCTTTAAAACTCATTTCTTCTCAAAAACTGCAGGAATCCACTTGTCTGGAAGTATAGTGAGATGAACCAACAGTCAAACGCAGGCAAACCACGACAAGGGAGCATAACAGCGCTTTGAGAAGACAAGGGGAAATAGAGTGATGTCATTGCATGGATAACTCATCATTTTTCAGTTGAATCATGAGAGGAAGAAAGCAAGAACCACTATGATTTTGCTTTGAACTGTTGAAGTCCCTCACATATCTTGCAAGAAAGAGCACACTAACTCTGACGAGAATATATTACGGGAAATCCAACAAAGTCTCCAATTTTCTCCACGAAGGACTTTAATTGTCTTTTACGCTTTCACCTGTTGCTACGCAACCATCAGTGGGAAGCTCTGTGTTAACGTATGATTTGTTTCTAGTCGTGGCTTTCAAGGAATTAGTCATTGGTTCGTAATCCTCTCATTAGTCTCGTCGCATGGGATTCTTTGAGATACGTAGTTGTTTTGGTGAAAGACGACCAAAAGTACTTACCTTTTGAGGGTCACACACGTTGATCTCGATGTACACGCCGCTGTACGTTCCAGGTCGTACATCTTGATTTCAATGCGCACGCTTTCTTCTGGCCTATTTTGCCCCAAAGAGCGTCTCAGCCACACCTTTTGTAGTCAGTCGATGGCTTGCCGAACACTGATTTTGTCCTGAGGATGGTCCATGGATAGTTGTTTCCGGTAAGCTATGCATGCAAAAAGCCATCTCTTGGACGGTGGAATGTAGTCAGTTGATACAAGGAAGAACAAGGTGAAAGAAATATACTTCAGTAATCTTACAAAACAGTAAGGAAGGTAATAACGCGATGGCTAGATAGTGGAAGAAATTTTTTCCATGACGCACAAGAGGTGTCCAAAAAACATGGGAACATATAGAGAAGGACATAGCTGGTAAGAAGAAGTTGGAGAGGTACGTGAAATGTGAGGGGACCGATTAATAGGGACGATAGCCTTACGAAACTGGTTCTTGCAAAGGTTGAGGAACAGTAAGTACATCTAGATTTCAATGTGCATTTCAATTGCGCTGCATGTAATCCGATGAGCCCGATACGCTAAAACGGCCACGGTCGTTAAGAGGTTCGCTTAGTAAGAAATTTCTAAACTAAAATAGCATGGGTCAAAAAATATTGGAAGTTCCAGTGAAGAAAGCTGATGTTGTTCGAGGATTACTTACCTGATATTTATATGATATTCGGTACTTGAGTGTTCCGTCCTCACTGGTTGTGCGGACCCCAGCACAATCTCCACTTTTCGAAGATTTGCAGGCTAAGCCGTCGGGGTTCCCTGGAATCCCGAGGCTAGAGTGGCCAAAGTCTCCCCAGGCCCAGGTCTTCACCACAACAGGTTTTCGCAGCTCTTGTGGATCAGTGAAAGATTTGTCACCATGCGACTTCGATACGAAGACGATGGTGGATCCTGGTATTGGTTTACTCTTAGCCAGGCTTCTTAATGGAAACGCCGGATTCCTTCTTAGCTTGGGAGACCCTGCCATGGGATGAATTACCCACTGTACATTGCAGTCCGACACCCAGGAACACCTCCCAGCAACAATGAGGCGGTAAACTATTGGGAGGATTATGTTTTTGATATTTCGTTTTCTGGACGTTATGGATATTCTTTCGCTCCACGAGAAGAAGAATCTTGAGCGAGGGAGACCATAACGTTCGATGGTGTAGAATTTCGTGTTAATATCGATATAAGCTAGGTAGGACTTCTCAGTGAAGATCGTATGGATAATCTCAATATTCTGTGTCCATTTATAATGTTCAATCATTCTTCAACAGGAGGCTCTTACCTTAATCCTTAAGGGGAGGGAGTGAAGGGTTTTTGGATTTGCAAGCAACTATGGATTGTTTCGATAGTCGTGACGCACGCAGGTCAACTTGATCCTTCATTCCCAGTTCATTGTCCAATCTGTTCCTGTGATTACAAAGCATGAAGAAATTAACGCATTCTCCCCAGATTAATCCCGCTGAGGGGTGATTGCTGATGATACTGATCGATAGACCTAGTTGAGAGACAGGTGAAACCGAGGACCCGCATGGTGTGGTGGTGAACGCGTTAGCCCCGGAAAGGATAATAGCACGTTCGTTCCCCACCGCAGACACCTGTGGTCTGGAGTTTTGCAAATATCCCATCGTCATTAACGTTATATAACGCACTTCGCTTCAGCGATTTCTTCAGCATTTACACAGCGTAATGATAACTGTCATGGTAATTTCTTTCCGATACTGAAACGATCACCGCATTGCTGCTCTAATTTTACCTGGAATGAAAATTTACTTATTTGCATACTTGGATAGCCCGTCTTCATTGGTTGCGTGGGGTCTAGCATAATTTCCACTTTTTCGGAGTTTTGCTGGTTTACCCATTGTGGTTCCCTGGAGTCACGAGGTCAGCCTAGCCAAAGTGGGCCTCAGGTAGTCACCACCGCTGGCAGTCGCTCCCTTTATGGATCAGAGGGAAATCCGCCACAATGCGACTAGTTTGATACTAAGACGGTGGTCGATCTTGGTATTGGTTTACTCTTACCTGGGCTTCTTGGTGCAAATGCTGCACTCCTTCTCAGCTTAGGAGTCCATGCTGGGGATACGAATCCCAGTGATGTGCATCGCAGCCCGACACCCAGTAACATCCTAAACCACGATGAGGCAGACGGTAAACAGTTGGGAACCGATGAGAATATGTGATTTTTAAATATTAGCTTCCAGGTGAAAAAAAAGTTGATACATATGATGATATTTATGGAGAACTCTCTACCACGCTTCTTGAGTATCCTGAACTGGTAGTGTTCAAACAGTTACAAACACTTCAATGATACTGAGATATTTGCAAAACTCCGGACCGCAGGTGTCTTCGGTGGGAAACGAACGCACTATTGTCCTTTCCGGGGAGTAGCGCCTTCACCACCACCCCACGCGGGTCCTTCGTTTCGCCTATCTCTCAGCTATTTCTATCGATCTTTGCCACAGCAATCACCCGTCAGCGGGATTGATCTGGGGCGCCCAAAGACAGGCGAAACGAAGGACCCGCATGGTGGGGTGGTGAACGCGTTACTCCCCGGAAAGGACAATAGCGCGTTCGTTCCCCACCATAGACACCTGCAGTCCAGAGTTTTGCAAATATCTCAGCAACGTTGTGGTTAAAGTTGTAGTTACGAACACTGTTACAGCAATTGTAAGTCGCTCTCCAAGAGTTCCTGGTTGCGAGGAACGCGAAGAACTAACTAAACTCTTTGTATTAAAACTTTGATTCTTTGGCACAAGCTTTATTCACTTGAGGACGCTCGAAGTTCACTTAGTGCCTACTTTTCAGGCAATGGATTCAAGAGTGCGCCAATCAGGGCGACGCCGCGGATGTACACGTAGGTACAAACGCGGACATTTGTTTGGTTATGATAACGTGCACACGGAATGAATAGGTCAATCCGGTGCTCTAGAGTGTTGCGGAGTTCACAGCTTTATATGTATAGCAAGTAGGTGGGAATTAGTTTTTGTAGCTGCCACGCCTGAGTTCTATGCGTTACTCACTGAGCCGAACACCTTGATATACTCGGTTATAACTCTTTTAATTGTAGTAGCAATAATAACAACACGATAACAACGATGCGAAGTATACAAGGCGAAGAATGGAAGGAAACTGGTTGAGCGAATTGAGCGAACGGAACGAACCGAACGAGCCTAGAAAGCTAACTGATGGACTGCTTATATTCGTTTAATGATGGGCGGAATGAGGTTAGAATGAATGGGGATGTAGTTTGCTGAGAAGAGGTATTGGAAAGTTGCCCAGACAGTACAATCTGATAAAGCGAGATGCACACATAATACTGTAGCCGCGTTTACATAAGATAACAGCGTAGCAAATGTTTTTTAAATACGGCTTGTCGGATCTCCATGGGAAAGTTCACGGAGAACATTGCTCTTAGGAGATGACTAAGTGATCTGATACAGCATGAATGGATAGAGAACATTGTATATTTACGAAGAATGCCCTCTATATAGAGAGAGGAAACGCCTGAATCAGGAAAGATGCGTCTCAGAACAAGTACAACGCTGTCTTGGTTGACATTTAACACCCCATTCACCACTGCCATATCCCACGTAGTCTAGTAACTAACCGGCCACTGATCCCTCAAGTCACTGAGTTACATGGGCCTTAAGAAAATTACGGTGAAGAACGTGGATATCAGACAATAGTTTGAACAAGTGTTTAAAGGTATGTTCAGCATAAGCGGAAAACAGCAAGTCGGCAAACTTCTGGTCGACAGCAGTCGGAAACAGCTTGTAGCGACGACCTCTTTTCGCCACGGCATAAGTATAACATATTTATTCCGTTACAATCGCGTGGTACCATTTATTTCTATGACGTGACAGAGTTACTAGTGGGCTCCACTCGTTCAAGGAACACGAAGAGAACCACACTTTTGTTAAGCGGCTATTTTTTCAGCGCTTTTGGTGGGAAGCCAGCCACTGAGAATTCATCTACTTGTGTACTTCATCTCATTTCGATATTCAGTAACATCATTAGTAATGTGGACGTGGGAAACTGTTTCGCGGGTCTTTGTAAGACAAAGTGCTTGGCCAATCAGTAAGCTCCGTGAAGATGTATGTGGGGATTGTTTATGTTGACCATCAATGTTCGCCATGGGTTCATTCTCGTGAAAGAGCGTCCAAATTAACTGACTGCTAGATGTAATCATTTGTGGTGAAAGTTCGGAAACAAACATCCTATGTTCCAAGAAACTTCATAGTGGAATATACCCATAATGATGCTGAGATATTTGGAAAACTCCAGACCACAAAAGTTTGCGGTGCTGATCGAACACGCTATTACCCCTTCCGGGGGATAACGCGTTCACCACCACACCATAGAAGTTATTCGTTTCGCATTTCCTTTCCGTCATGTTTTATTGGCGCTATTAGCAATCAGAGGGCACTACCTTTGGAGGGCACGTGCGGTGCAGCGGTCGGAGGCGCCCTGCCGCACACGTAGAATCGATCCCCGCGCCCATGGCCCACCAAGCCCTCCATCCCTCCGGGGCCGGCTAACTCCAAACGATGCTTAATGAAGTCGAATGCAAGGGGCATTTCTCAGGGATAGATCAACGTCTAGAGCTTTATCCTTTGTCCTTTTATTAGCAATAAACCGTTAATGGGATTAATTTGAAGAATACAAATCGGCATTGAACCCAGCTCAGCTGAAGCCATGATATAAATCACAATGTCATCATGTTTTATTTGCTTCCTACTCTTTTTTTTTGACTTTTTGACTCAATTTTTTGAAAGCTTCGTAGTTCCAAATATTAACATTAGTTCTCTTTGCATCTATAAGTATGACTAACAAAATGCTCTGCGCCTGGGGTGGCTAGGACCTCACATTTCCCAGCACTCTGTCTCTGCCAACCAAGCTTCTTTCACAAATTATCTGACGATATTACCCCCCGGGCGCCTGTGGCGCAGTTTGGTGGTGCGGTACAAGAGACACATGGCTCTTCATTGGATCCCGCGTCCATGGCCCATCAAGTCCTTCATCCTCTCAGGGTGTGAAAATTGGTACAAAACTTATCTGAAAGGATAGCTGCACAGACATGGTAGATCCGTACGACACTACAAGTCTACAAGCCGGATATGTGCATTCAGTTCTCGCTAACGACGCTTGTTGAGGTCGAACGCGTGGCAAGTCTCTCAGGAATTGACCGACGCCGAGAGCTTTATCGTTCCACTTTTTTCCGCTCACAAAGTGCTATTGTAGGCTGTTCAAACAGTGATGCTGGCGGAAGACCCAACAAGCGAATAGTTGTCGGCTCGCTTTGTGCCGCAGTTTTCCGTCAGATCCGGTGTCTCTCGTTGTTTCCTTACGCGCGATTCGAGGGAAACTGCTTCGTTCCGTAAGCGGCGGCTTTCATTGGTCGTGCTGTTCACCCGAGGTATGTTTCAGCTAAAATCCTTCGTGTATTGCGTTGCCTTTTCAGTACTTTTCATTTAGTTTGAGCAGCCTTCGGCATAGTGCTGCTTGTACAAGTCGACATGATAAGAGGACTGAACCCAGTTTGGCAAGCCGTCATTGCTGGCTGCTTCACATGGGGTGTGACGGCACTCGGTGCTTCCTTGGTGTTCATCATGAAACACCAGAATCGAAAACTGCTTGGTATGTTGAGTGAAGTATTTCGTTATAGAATATAAAGTATCATTTTTGCTGGCATTCATATATCGATAACAATCGTCAGGTCGATTATTACTGCTTTGATTCGATAGACGGACCATTGATTAACCCCGGCATTAATTAACTTGTATGATCTTAAGAATATCTTGTTGGCACCTATCAATAGCGGTGCTTAATCCGTCCGATATGAAGGGTTGCATTAAAGGGACCTTCTTGTATGTGTTTGGAATAGTTTGTTTTGGGGCCTAGCTCTTCGTTTAGACCTCTAACTTTAATGGCTGTTGTTTACTAGCCATTTGAGCTATCCAGTTGTCCAAAGTGGGGGTAATATCCTCACTTTCTTCTGCTGTGCAAATTCTCGTAGCTGTTCAGTACATATTTCGAACGAGTGCTTTTTCGTACGTGAAAAGTGTGAAGAGAGGTAAAGGAGTAGTGTACTAGCATATTTTTATTACTTGACCTCCGATATCACTATATGATGTAGAAGCCACTTCTGGAAAGCTGAGTTTGAACGTTGAGAAATGAAAACAAATCTTTGCGGATTTTTCTTTAGGCGCCAGTTCCATGCAATCTGACCAGTAAAAAGGGAAACTCATAAGATTACTGTCGTATTCTTTTTAAAATAGAGGACGATTTCTAGTTGAGTGTGTCAATCTGTGTTAGGAGTATGTATGTCAATGTGTACAGCGAAACGGTTGCTTTCTCTCGTGTTGTCACTTCTTTTTTCGAGACTCAACTTTCTTCTTCTGTTCGGGATTTTATGAAGACATAAAGGGATTGATGGGATGTAATTTATCTAAGGAAGAACTACTTATAGTTCTAGGTGTAGGTACTAGCTGGAGACAATTAGAGATCTCGTGCGTATTTCCTACGAGAGCTTGTATTTCAGACCTTAGCCTGGGTTTCGCTGCTGGTGTGATGATAGCGGCATCGTTTTGGTCTCTGTTAGCCCCTGCAATTGAAATATCGGAAAATACTATGGGATCTTTGGCATTTCTGCCTGTGGCTGTTGGATTTGCAGTTGGAGCAGCCTTTGTACACTTCGCAGACCGTATGCTACCCACGTAAGTTCTCCAACATAGAGTTTATCTTTTCAGCATTACCGCGTTGTATCTCTACCAGTAGTGACATTCTTTTTTTGGCTATTTTTCCCTGTAAGACTTTTAGGTTAATTTAATAACACAGTTTTACGACATCTAGAAACATCTCTGTTGATTGATTACAATTAATGAAACTTAGTCGTAACAGTGTTTCCCTTGTAAACGGAAGTGTCTGATATATTATGCACTTTGTTCAAATTCCGATAACTGTTACTTACACTTTCTATAGTAACTTTTTTTCTGCATTAATTTTCTCTTCTTTTCTCAGCTTAACTGGGTTTAATGCCGATTTGGGCTCGTCAGATCAATCCCGTTGACAGATGATTGCTGATGGCACTGGTAGATAGAAAACTAGCTGAGAGAAAAGCGAAACGAAGGAGCGCATGGTGTCGTGGTGAACGCGTTAGTCCCCGGAAGGCGTAGCGTGTTCAGTCCCCATCTTAGACACTTGCCGTCCGGAGTTTTGTAAATATCTCAGCATCGTTGTGGTTACTTTCTACAGTTTCGAAAACCCTTTTTAGGTATCTTTTAGCTGGTTTTAAATTATACATCTTCCGTGAAAAGATTTGGACAGATTTACATATGGTCGATATGTTTTCGTTCAATAGTCGACTTCTAGTTGCGTTATGAGAGATACGGCGGTGATGAGTTATGTGACACCAGCGAAGACGGAGACGCAGCTATCATTGGTATCCTCTGCCAATGGCTCAGAAAATTCGGCAGCTCCACGGTACGACCAGGTTACCACCATGATTTCCGGTTTGCGCCACCGTGCTTCGAAAAATAGGTGAGCCACCGCCCCATCACTACTCACGCAACTAAGATCTGCTGTATCGTACACGCAATTCTAAAGTTTCGCAGTAATCTAGTTTTGCGTAGTTCATACATGAATTACCCTACTTTTTCTTGCCATTACCCTGCTTTGTTGACCTCATAACGGGTTTACGTTTTTGGGCGGTGGTTTCACCTTTATATGGTTTATTGGTGTCTATATGTTGTGTCTAACCAGTTTTTGTTCACTTGATTGCATGCGGAAGCGTTTTTCTTTACTGTCAGAGTTGCACATATGACCGAACCATGAATTTTCTCGGTAAAAGCGAATACTTTCAGAGCTGGTCTAAACGTCCAAGAAACCGGCGGAGAAATAGAGTCTTTTACTCGAGAAAAAGAAACAAAAGGTTTGGACGAGGAGGAATTTCGTTCATCGTGGAGGCGGATAATGCTTCTGATCCTCGCCGTCACCGTTCATAACATTCCCGAAGTAAAGCGAGCTATCTCTTAATATTACATTCTTGTTACGCCATATTTAGCTTTTGCAGTATTGTACAACACCTTTTAGGGACTAGCAGTCGGAGTAGGATTTGGGTCAGTGGGAAAGGCTGAAGCAGCGAAATTTGAAACTGCTTTCAACTTAGCGATTGGAATCGGGCTTCAGAATTTCCCTGAAGGATTGGCCGTCTCATTGCCACTTGCTGCGTTCGGTTATTCGAAATTAAAGGTAGATATATAAGCTGTTTTGAAATAGTACAGTCTTATTTGTTGCTAAGGACGTGCTGGCGATCGATAATTTAGGCGTTCTGGTACGGCCAGCTATCCGGAATGGTGGAGCCTATTTCGGCAGTGTTAGGGGCAGCAGCCATAATAATGATGGAGCCAATACTACCGTATGCGCTAGCTTTTGCTGCTGGAGCTATGATCTATGTTGTGATCGACGACATAATCCCTGAAGCTCAAAGGAGCGGGAACGGCAAGCTGGCTTCTGTTGCATGCATGATAGGTTTTTTGATAATGATGTCCATGGACGTGGGATTCGGTGATTAAAGCAACATTACGAAGCGGTTTGTGTAAAGCTGTTAACATCTAACTGTATATGAAGCGTAGAGACTTTTAAGAACTTTTAGCGGTTATTAATTTTCTCTCTATTTGCAATATTTTATTATAACGTTTTACAATTATGTACTATTTAGTGTCTGTGAATTGCTCATAATGTTAAATGGTGGGCATAATAGCTTCCCTATTTGAAATGGGTTTTAATACACTCCTCACCTCAAGGCTTCAATGTAGTCATCTTCATTCACCTATTTGCAATTTCTCACCCATTCTGCCTTGTTTTTTTTTTTTGCTTGTTTTTGATGGCATAATTATTCGTATGACGTCATTTTATTCTTCTATTGTGGATGGGGTTTCCTTGTTTGCGTTGTGGATTTCGGGAATATTTATGGTGAAGCAGCATTTGATTTTGTTTTGATGTTATCGCTAGAAATGTCTAGTATTCATTTTTTGCTATTATTATTGATGGGAATCGTGACGAAGACTTGTTTTCATGAGATTTTCTTACACTTATGGAACTTCAGGGTGAGTATCTTGTGCAGTCCGACTGAACAGCAATAAATCTATCTAGATGGAAGTTCCAATGAGTGGAGAGTTTGTGTTCACCAGATCTATACCTATGGGTTTTTTTTTTTTGTTAACACTCATTTTCCACTACGCGTTCGTGATCGCCTTGCTTGACCGTCTTCGTCTGGGAGAACTTCATTGTACTCCTTCTGAAGTAGTGATCAATTCTATAGTATTCGTACGTGACCAACCATGATGTTATAAATAAATAGATTTTAGAGATCTCAGCCTTCGAGGGCAATGTATCTGACGAAAGTTATCCGTTTACCACGAAAGCCATTCGTTGAATTAGACTATGCTCGGCATATGCCAAAGGAATATGTTCAAAGAATGAAAAGGACCGTACCAAAGAAGGTGTATGGTGGAAGGTGAATTACTTTAGCATTTCATAAATGAAATGCTTGCATACGTTGAATTTTTGTTATGGATGTTTTTGACCACAAAGGATGTCACATCAACAACCGTTTAAAGTATATGCGACCGCTGTTACTGATTAAGAAGCCACATCAGTTTAATAGAGACGAGGATAGCGCAGTGGTTATGATACTGTCGATCAGACAGCAAAAGGAGCCAGTTCGATCCCCAACTCCACTTAACGTGAAGACGCCTTAGCAGGCCTAGTTCCAAGACTACAAGGAGGATCGACTCGACCAGCATTTTACGACATTCATGAATAAATCTGAATCCTCAACCAGTAGCTAAAACAACACGCGAAATATCCGAAGACTGTGTGGGAGATGAATAGGAGGGAAATGAATCGAACGCAAGAAGCTTGGACCGTTACAGTAGATGTGATGGCGGGTAATGTAATACGAAAAAACGGTTTAATTGGTCCACCAACCAAGTGGGTCGTAATCATACGTGGTTCATTATTGTATTGTTACTTATAATTGAAGTAGATATAATCCATACTAAGGCAAAGCGGAAATCGTTAACACATTTGCGACAACGTAACATCCATAGGAGTAATACTGTACAAAAATGGTGGCCGCTTTTAACACTAGATCAACATAGCTCACAGTGAATTTTATTAGTTTGCAATAAGAGCCTGGAATTTTCGACTGTTTGCCTAGTAAATAAATGTTCTCTTATTTTACCACAATGAAGTTTAGATTTTCTGGACCCAATGATATGTGCTTACAATGATGGTGAGATACTTGCAAAACTCCGGACCGCAGATGTCTGCGGTGGGCATCAAACGCGTTATTGTCCTCTCCCGGGAGTAACGCGTTCACTACCACACCATGCGGGGTCTTCGTTTCACCAGTCTTTCACCCGGACTTTCTAGGTGCTATTAACAATCACCTGTCAACGGGATCGATTGGTTGGTCTAATGATATATATTTCTTTCACTTGACCGTTGCAATGCTCATATTTCGAAAATCAAACAAACGAACAAGATTTTATCTCGCACTGTAAAATGGTGTTTGGCAGTGTACCGTTTATATTTGCAGCTCCCAGTCTTCGCTTGGATGGTCCGAAAATTTCCACCACATTATCAACTTTTTGAAATTTTTAATCTTAAATAAAAAAATGAAGCTCTCGGCGTTGGTCTATCCCTGAGGGATGCGACGTGCATTCGACTTCATTGAATATCGTTGGAGGTGATTGAATGCATACCCTACCTTTACAATGACTCGCGGTGCGGATGTATCGAATCAGTGCTACTATCTTCCTAGATAAGTATGGTACCAATTTGCCAACTCCGGAGGGATGGAAGGCTTGGTGGGCCATGGGCGCAGGAATCGATCCCATGTATATTGCAAGGCGCCTCCGACCACTGGGCCACACATGCGCTTTAATTCTAAATATGTTTCCATTTGAAAAGGAATTGTTTAAGAGCAATCTATGTGATAAATTTCGCTTTTATAATTAAAGTTCTGAATACCTGAAGTACTCTAGTGGTCAAGAAATTATCGTCTGTTGTCCAAAAACCAGCTTCGTTGTGCATCGGTTAATTAACCTCCACCAATTCAATGTGTTTAGAATGAAAATGTTGTCTCCGAGCATATGAGCATATCTGCCTCCGTTCGTAGTGGACATAGCAATTTTGGCCACAACTGCTTTTCTTAGGTTCGGCGCTCCTGACATTACACGTTGGGTGATACATCCTGACGACTATGTGCCAAGCTATGAGCGACCGTGGACTAACGAGGAGTTGACGAAATCCATCAAGAGAGCGGATAAATACCATGAGAAGATGTATTTTCAAATTGTTTTTCATTTTAAAGCGATTATTGTTCAGCATTATTGTGTTCATATATTCGTAGTGGTTCTACACTTTTAGGCTCTCTTCTAAATTCTTCGAATTACGTCGCACTAAGATACGACGCATGCCAGACGAACAGTGGACATTTTTCCCTGGAGACATTGTACAAGTACTGCGTAGATATCTTGAGACTGAGCAATAGAACCATTTGCAGCTTAATTTTTACTGCAAATGGTTAACGAGAATAATGTGTTAGATCATACCGGGAACGATAACATTTTCTGTGTTACATTTCAGGTAATGGTGGGGAAGGACAAAGGCCGACAAGGTGCAGTGATGTCAGTGTCTCGGGAAACAAATGAAATCTTGGTTGAAGGCTTGCATTGTAAGCTGGAAGCGGAAGGAATGGAGAAAATTGGTATAGACGAGATCCTTAGGTTAGCTGTGATGTTATTCACGTTGACAAGAACTATGTAGACTAAAACACTTCCTTCCTCGAGTTGCCAGGCATTTACAATATGCGCTTTTCGATTTTTAGGTGGAAGGAGCAACCACTGAATGTAGAGAAAGAACACGTCAAGTTGGTAGATCCCAATGACAACGAGCCGTGTGATGCAAAGTATTTTTCCAAAGCGTTGTTGCAACTGACTTCATTCCTATCTCCTTGTTCTTCAGGTGGACGCTTAATACTGCAGGAGACGAATACATACGCGTCTCTCTACGCTCTGGCTTCGAAATTCCTATTCCTAGCCAGGCTTACGTGACGTACGAGTATCTTCAACCCGAGAAGTACATTGGTTGGTAGTTTTTGGAAACATTGAGTGGATCTGATGAACTGCTTGTACTTCCTATACAATATTTCGATAGATCTTCCTGCATTTAGAAGTGGAAGATAAGGACACGCCATATTCTGTCGTATTGGAACGAACGTATGTTCCAAAGCTTGCTTCTTTTGAGGATGAAATTTGCGCAGAGATGGGTATAAAAGATTTACGGAAAAAAAAACCAACATATTGGTATTAATCTGATTAGGTGGTAATGGAATGAACTTTTCAGGCATGTGTACACTTGTGTCTTTGTTCTTATTTATTCATTTTTTATAGTGAACTTTGAAACCTTTACAGTGGTTCAATACTTACTGCCCTTGTGAAATCAATGGAAAATACAAATGACCCCGTTTTTGATACGGAAATACATTAATATGCAGCCGAAAGTCTTTATAACGGACGGAAACCCGGCAGTCCGCTCTCTTGAAGAGGTTCTACTGCAATACGACCGTATTCATCGGCGTACTGGAGAGGTTCACAGAACCTAAACGATTACTTTAAAAGTTATTTGAATGTCTTCCGTATAAATCAGAAACTCACCTTTCGCTTTCAATCACGAGAATATACTGACACAACTTTGGTTCAGCTAACGAAAGTGAGATTGCCAGCGGACTACCGGCTGTTTTACATCTTAAGTTGACCTCCACATTTCTAAAAACGAAATTCTCAGCAATCAAATTCAGTGCGTAAAAGAAATTGTTTAATTACTAATGAAAAGTTTTGACACAATTTCCATGGTCAGGATCTGGATGCCCGTCATTTACAATCACAGTCAATTGTATTATGGTCTTTATTGTGGTATGAGGACAAACTCCTAGATCATACATTCACAACAACGTCCACTTTTTAGTGGTGGCCATGTGGGACGCTACCACATCTTCTTTTGTGTTGGTTGGCCAGTAGATTAGGGAGTTGGTCGGATTTGTCTTTTGACCACCAATTGTACGTGGAATGCTCGACTTTCTATGAATTCGCCACGCGGGACTTTTTTTCGTAGCTGGAGTGCACAACCTCGAGTTTGGTTTATAACAGTTTATACCAACAATATGTAATATGTGACGAAGTGTGGTTAACTGGATATATACGAGCGAGATTGAGATGAAAACAAGCGATGCAGTTGAAGGAAGTTAGGTGGACACTGGAGTTGGAGACTGAGGAACTGAGAGACTGAATGAACACTGAACGAACGCTACAAACACTTGAAGACGAATGCCCATGGGCTGCCTGTATTACTTCTGTAGTGGGTGGAGCCTTGAATAGCTCGCGGATAAAGGTTATCCGAAAGACTACGCAAAGACTTATCAAAAGGTCATGTAAATGAGATGGAATAACGTGGGGCTTCACAGAGGGACTCAGAGACAGTGCTGACCCAGGTCATGACACGGTACCTGCGGAGAACTACACCAAATAAGACGGTATGCCAGAGGCTTTTATCGAAACTACATATCGAAGCGGTATTAAAACTTATACATTTTGAATGGGTAGATTTGAGGTAGTTATAAGTAAATAGTTAGTATAGGACACATGTGATATTGTAGAGAATAGGAACTATTTAAGGAATAGTTACCATATCTTTAGCTTCACAAAGTATTTTACTATGGGTACTTGAGAAATTGATAGCTTGACGTGTGTAAGGCATTTTGCTCTATAGCTCTAAGAAAATTATAAATTTTCAGAAATTTCGATTTGATTTCTTTTTATTGGACGACATTTTAAGTTAAAAAACTTTTAATGCAAACATAGCAGTCATGAACATGAGCGATACGTTGGGTAACACTATGATGTCATGCTGGATCGCTCTTTAGTATACACTGTTCTAGGAAAAACTATAGATGGTGAGATATTCGCACAACTTACCACGATATCATAGATTTACTACAAAAAATATTACGGGTGATTGCTGATGGCAGCGTTAGGTAGAAAACTAGCTGAGAGAAATGTAAAGCAAGGGTCTTAGCGGTGCAGTGAGTAATACGCGAGCTCCGGAAAGGGTGATCGCGGTTCGATCTGGTCCGGATTCCAACTTTTGAGAATATCACAGCATCGTTGGGGTTGTATTTTACATCATTCCCTGCTGTGAAAATTGTAGTAGACAGCAAATAAAAGGTTAATATTGTGACTATAGATGGTCTCCAGAAAATTAGGATTTCATCGTAGTAGAGTAAGAAGACATGCACCTTGTTGGCAAAGATTTGTAGATTCTAACACTTTCTACTTCAGTTGACAAAGAAGGCCATGAACAGCATATACTTGAGACCGCCGCAAGTCACAATTATTTTCGGTTCGCATAGATGTTAGCCAATCAAATCGAAATTAGGAAAATTAGATGGGTATACCTGTGAGCATTCAATTCATGGCATATATCTCCCTTGGAGTACAGATGAGAAATTTGAACGACCTGATTGTTGGACTGTAAACGAGATTTCAACAACAAAGATATTGCAATAGAACCGCATTCTACTAAACTTGGGAAGAACTCAGTAAGTGCTCTGACCTTCTTTGGAGAACGATGGATTTTGTCTTCATCTACCCACGCCTTATGAACTACCTCGTCAAAAACACCTAGCAATATCTCTGTGCGGTCACCATTTGGTTCTTGGTGATATTGGAGTACCTAAGAGACAATTCTAAATTTCACGATTAATGTGTTAATTGTGCCATTGGTCAGGAAAGTGAAACATCAAAGGATTTTGTAATAATGGATAACGACATAACTGCAAAAAAACTCCACTTACGCTCTTTCCATAACAAAATTCATATTTCCACCATCCTTCTCCACCATAGATACATTCACTCCCGGATAGTATACGGTTTACAGTGTCTTCAACTACTAGACGGTTATTTGCTAGTGTGTCCACGCTCTTATATCTTGAACAAATGGTGTAATATAAACATTTCATAAAATATTAAAACCGAAGTGATAATAGAACTCGGTTAAATAGATTACTTCTTCTGGCCAGATAATTTAAAGAGTTTTTGTCTCTCAGACTGAGGCCGCAACTCATCAGCTGTCTTTCCTCCCTCCATACTGAACTCCGTAACCTCGTCGGTTGTAGTAATAGAGAATTCCTGTATGTATTCACCTCCTTTAACAGTACTACAATATCAATTGCATTTTACATTACTTGGAAACAAACCCTCTTGAAGGTGTCACGATGATAGTCTTCCAACTGAACAAGGGATAACGGTTTCACAATTTCACCACCATGCGTGTTGTAACAAACAATTTCTTGGTTCTTCTTCTCTTTTGGTTTATAGGCTGGATGAGTGCAAATCCTACTGGTTAGCACTATCACTTCGTAATTACATGAAGAAACTTCACTCAGCGAGTGGATCTGGATATGTGCATTCTGAAAAAGATCGGACCTCACCAGGGTGTACTGTGAATTTGAACAGTGAATTTCTTCATGGCGCACTAATGCCGAGCAAATCACCGTTCTCAGTGATAAGCCCGAACTGGGTCAGCTCATCTGAAAACTGGTGCTAAAAAGCGCCATATTTTTATTGGAACTGAAACAACCAGAACAGGAAAGGGAAAAATTTTAAGTCCATAGAAAACTAAGCCTACATAGACAACGTCAAATAAAGAGAGCATCAAAACTACTTATGGAATATACGAGACATATGTGGCATCTTTTAAGCAGTGGTCGAAGGACATGGGATCGATCCTGGTACGTTAGGCTCCCAAAGCCCTCCATTCTTCCGACGTCGGCGGATTGGCACTAGATTTGTCTGCGAGGATCGCAGCACTGGCTCGATACATCGGTAGGCCACCGCGTGTCATTGTGAACGCCAGATACGTATTCATTCAATCACCTCCAGCGATGCTTAATGAAATCGATTGTATGGCGCATGCCTCAGGGATTGATCAACATCGAGAGCTTTATCCTTTACCCTTTTAATGAAAAAATCCACTATTAATTCATAAAAAATAAAATAACTTGCCTCATCACAAACATATTTCACAATCGTCGTTCGTGGTTTCCCTGTGATATCACAGGTAGTCCCTTGATTGTATAATACAGGAAAATAAGCGCGTTCTTCTCCATCGATGATCTTCTTCGGAGGTATATCATGATTGTCTGGGGAACCCTAAACGGAATTCTCTTTGTAGAACACGAAACAATGACATTCTCCATCACCTTAGTAGCGTAATCCACATGCAGATTGCCCAGGTAGTACTCGGAGGTCCTTCCAACACCACGCAGTTCTTTTTCCTCATGGTACTGAACAATGTAACGCCCATGGCAAAGTTCATAGGTCCAATATGGATCCACACGATATGAACACAATTTATCCTTATAGATTGACGCTATCAATTCATCAGGTAAAGGTCCAGTATAGGACGAAGCATCTCTGCTACTCTGAAATACTACTGAACTGTAGAAAAGGCAAAGAATACGGTAAACTAACGGGAAGAACCCAAAACAATTCCCAAGGAGTTTGAGACACTATAAATCTTTTAAAGCCGTTTGAATGTTGTTCACATGACTGTCCTAAATGCTGAAAACATGGAATGGTAAGACCTACTGAGGTAGAACCCTCTGGGAATCGGCAGATGTAGTTCTCATTACGTGGCGTAGATATCCGCAAAGAGCCGTCCTTCAGTAGTTTTTCGTTCTCCTCCAACAACTGGATGCCAGCAAGTTCATTCTCTATCCGATCAAAAGTGACGAAATAGTGTACGCTATCGTCTACCTTACTGACGAATACAGATTTAACAAGTATAGAGAGTAAAAAATGTATGAAATTCATCTACAAAAGAGGAAGTGGGCGGCGAGCAAGGTCACCGTGATTGCGAACATTGTACGCGACCCTGCTCCTACGCGAATTTGCGGCCAGGTTATCCCTGACGTTTGTATCCCTTAAATAGTTATATTAGTAATATAGCTCTTTGTTTTCTTGTATACTAGTTTCTACTATGCAAATGAAAACTCTAGATTGACAGCATAGTCTAGGAATCTCGTTTACTGAAACGTTGGCCGTTTCTTGAACACTTATTGAATTTGTTCCTAACTGATCCTCTGTATCGCCTTTTTTTTCTAATGGTAGTCTTTGTAATATGTCCCTTATAATCTGAGAAATGTGTTCAGCAGCAAAATCGTCAGTCGATTAGAATGTTTGCCCACGATTTTCTCAAGAAGGACGATCGTACGTTCAAGCCGACAGCTTCTCCGAGGTAGGAAATATTACCATGTTGTTCTTTACTTGTATTCACTTTTCTGTCTGAAGTGATAGTTTTCTAGTGTATTTTCACATCGATCTTTGTTGCTATGCACTCTTGTGTTTGTCACGAATTCCATACTGTTTACTAGGGTCCCTTCCCAACGATTTAGCGCTTCATCGTGGCTTGGAGGTATTCCTCGATGTCGTGCTGCCACATACAGTGGGGGGTTCGTCCACCCGGCAGAGTTTCCTAAGCTGAGAAGGAGTCCGACGTCCTCATCAGGAAGCACAGCTAGGAGTAAGCCAGTACTAGGATCCACCATCGCCCTGGTATCAAACTAGTGGCATGGTGGCAAATCTCCCTCTGATCTACAAAGGCGGTGGGTGCCTATGGTGGTGATGACCTGAGGCAGACTTCGGCTAGACTGACCTCGGGACTCCAGGGAACCACATTAGCCAAGCCAGCAAAAGTCCGAAATAGTGGAAATTATGCTGGAGTCGCACAACCAGTGAGGGCGGGCCATCGAACTATCCAAGTATTATATGACAAGACATTTTGGGTACAGTTAGTAGGTTATGTTGCTATTGTTAAATGTGTTCATATCTTAAGAGCAAAACGCTAGGTTTATAAGCAAAGAGTCCCAACAAATACTTGTTAGCTAATTGAAATTTTACTCCACATTGAATCCCTGTAAGTTCACTACACAGTGGTCATCTACACACTCCATCATATCGGATGAGGGAGTCGTTTCAGGCTTATCCAACGACTTTCAGGGCTGCATGGTATTTTTGCGTCTTGGTTTTGACGAAGATTCTTCGATGTATCGGCATATTCTTTATCGATACACTCTCGAAGGGTGTCCATGTCGTTAGCCTTTTATGGCTTGTAAAGTTACTGTATGTTTCTCTTTGTATTGCCATATTATAACTGTCATCCTTTCCTTTCAAGTCAACATGGACAAAGAATATAGCGGATTCAATTTTTCTTTTGTTCTAGAACAGCCGTGATCATACTGCCTATTCAAAAACCGCTGTCTCATGGAGCTTTAAAGAAGCGAAGTGTAAGTGCCTCTGCAATTCTGTGCCGAAGAATCCTAGCTATTCCTTCAGTTTTAGTTCATTCGCATCGGCAAACTAGCACTGTTTAATTGTTTAATAGAAGTGTTTTGGTTCTACGGTATTACATTTTGTGGGCCACTAAGGTATGTTTTCGGCAGCCGTGCACTTTACAGCCTCATTTGTTTTTTCTTTTCTCTTTTCATCTCGTGTATTTAAATTAAGATCTGTACTAGTGTTCGAGTTGAGCCCATCCGTGCTGTTGGTTGCCATCGTGTCTATTTTTAAGGTATTAGGCTGCTCTCCTGTTTCCAAATTTGAGGTTTCACTTGGTAAATGCGATTGCAGGGAAGCTCATCAACAGCGAAAAGTCGTGGTTTACTTTTCCTTTTGTTAGGATTTTTGTCGCTTCTGCTGATGGATCGCGACCAGAAAATTGTTCACAGTCATGGTGCGTTTTTTTCGAAAGTATTTTACGACGATTAGAAAAACCTTCTGAGAAACTTTTTTTTTGTTAGAATCACTTTTTGCGTGCGTTTACGCGATCTATTAATTATTATTGCTTATTACATCATATTACAATTGTTTTCTTGGTTTTAACAACAGATCCACTCTTTAGAAATTAATCAGTGGATCGTTTATGTAGTGTGTATTCTGAATTTTTATAAAAGATTATGTAGTACGTCAATGTGAGGAGTCGTGTTTGTAAGTCCAAGTTTTAGTTCAACCGTAACACACATTAGAGAGCAGGGAATTTTCCGCAGTTTAAATACTTGAGAATCCGAAGATTTAGATTGAATTGCCTTTATATTTACATATATATACATATACATATATACTTATATATACTTGATACTTGGTACTTGAACGGCCCGTTCTCACTAGTTGTGCGGGCCCCAGCATAATCACCATTTTTCGGACATTTGCTAGTTAAGCCATTGTGTTTCCCTGAAATCCTGGGGAAAGCCTGGCCAAAGTCTGCCCCAGGTCTTCACCACGGCAAGCAGTCGCAGCCCTTGTGGATCAGAGGGAGATTTGCCACCATGCGACTTTGATACCAGGTTTCTGGTGGATACTGGTATTGGTTTACTCTTAGCTAGGCTTCCTAATGGAAACGCCGGACTCCTTTTCAGCTTGGGAGACCCTGCCGGGGGACGGATCCCCCGCTGTACATCGCAGTCCGACACCCGGTAACACCTCCCAGCCACGATGAGGCTGTAAACCGTTGGAGGTTATACATACATACATACATATGTATACATGTATGTGTGCGTATGTGTACCTACTTATTTACTTGAATACTTGAACTGCCTGTCCTCACTATTTGTGCTGGTCCAAACATAACCTCTTTTTTTCGGAGTTTCGCTGATTTAGCCATTGTATTTTCCTGGAGTCCCAAGGTTAGCCTAGCCAAAATCTGCCCCAGGTCGCCACCACCACAGGCAGTCGCAGCCTTTGTGAAACAAAGCGAAATTTGCCGCTATGCAACTAGTTTGGTAGCAGGATAGTAGTTGATCCCGCTATTGATTTACTCTTAGTTAGGTTTCCTGATGGAAAAGCTGGACTCCTCAGCTTGGGAGACCCTGCTGTGCAGATGAATCCTTCCGATGTACATCGCAGCCCGACACACAGTAACACCTCCCAGATACAATAAGACGGTAAACCGCTTCGGGGATACTGACGAATCGTTGCACTTAACCTTAGATTCGTTTCTTTTCTTCAGTGATTGAACACCATAATCGATTAGTTTTATTTATCGTACGCACCCCATCCGGAAAATATAATGGTTGATTACAAATTTGCCGCATTTGAAAGTTTTTGTTCCGTTTTTTATGTTAAACACTCATCCTTGGCTGTTAGTGCCTTCGTTGACCATAGCTCTGTATTAAGTATTATGTTAAAACACTGTCACCTTTCAGATATAACTCATTCTCATCATAGTGGCCTGAACCACTTGTTTTATCATGTTATCGCAATGTTTGGAATGGCAGACCATCAGGGTGGTGTAGCAATCCTGTTTCTTGCCTTGCTTCTACGCATAGGTAAGCAGATTTTATTGATGAAGAATGTAGGTTGTTAAGATTAGTTATTAATTAGTCCACGTGTCCTTGCATGGGCTGTTCCCAGGATTCCTTGATTTCGCTGTTGTGAAGCAGTTACCTGTGGATATGCTAGAGTTCGTATAAGAGTTTGGCTGTCAATTGAAGAGCTTTCTGCTTGCTCAGTGGAGTGTTCGATGCTGGTTGAACGTAGTTCTTCATAGAGTTAATATCAGTTTCTTGTTGCAATTCTCAGCATGTACTTGCTGTTAATCTCGAAATTGTTCAATGAATCAGTGTTCTATTTTTGAAGAGACACGTGGTTGTTAACAGCAAGATTTGTTCAATACTTGCAGACGTTCGGTGGTTTGGTCTTTCTCATTGGTTTCAAAATGCACTCATATTTTTAATTCATTCACGTCAGCGTGACTATTGGCCGTCTACTTTGTTTTCACCAGAGTGGACGTTATTTTAGGAGCCGAAACTAAAATTTCGAAATGTAGTGCTGCTCAACAATTCGTTCAGGTTACGACAATTCATTTCGTCATCTTGCAGTTGAGATTGGTGGCCCTAAGCGTCTTTACTCTTTGGTCTCAGCCACTTCAGCCTTAATACTTACTCCTGTCGCTGCCTTTCTATTAGCAATGAAAACGGTGAGACCTTCTTCTTTTCTTAGACCACTCTTTTTTATCTTTATATCGGCAGTAGAATGGAACACGGTAAACGAGACAATATAGTTCAGTTACTACTATCCAATTGCCTTGGTAGTCCGAACACCTCTCGCCCTGATTTGTTGATTTAATTCAATAATAATTATGGTTTTCAGTTGTTTAAATTATCTAGTTACTGACTTTCAGAAGTTATTCCCTTCGCTGCATTCTTTTGACTTCCCGTTACGGCTAACTCGGTTTTCAAAAACCACTAAGAATGTGTCAGATCAAAAGATTTGAGTCATTGACAACAATATGAGCCGTGTAAACATTATTTTTCAGTCACACATCGACTCTTTTAATCATTTCACTACACTACTACTCGTCGCTACAATTTTTGTGATGGTTTTAGATTTCTATGCAGAAAGCATGTGTTTCCAGGTTCGTATACCCTTTCGTTTCATAATTAAGACTTTGGGCACCGTTCGTTAGTTCGATCTCGCCTTCTGAACTCACTAGGTCTTCCATCCATCCAGAGTGGCAGATTTCTACCAGACTTATTTGGATAGATAACAGCACTGATTTGATATATCGGTAGGCCACCGCAAGTCGTTCTAAGGGGCAGATGTACATTTAATCACTTTCGTCGATCCTTGATAAAGTCGAATCTATGGCGCATATCCGCTTTTATCTTCCTTTAATTACGACTTCTGATACCACTTTTTAGCATGTCGCTGACCCAGTGATGGCTGCAGCTCGATGGTCGCCCATTACTATGTTCACTTGTGCTCTCAGCTTGGCTTGGTTATGGTATAGCGGACAAGGGCTAGAAGAGCATTTTATTACCTCTGGTGTTATTGTTTCTGTGGTTGTCTTCATTTTGGGTAAGGAGTAGTACCACCGGAAGCGCTTCTTTAGACGGATGTTTTTGAGATGACTCTTATCTTATGTTTTCTTCTTTTTGTATTTTATTGTTTTTCTGGTTTATTAGTTTTCAGCCTTCTTTTTCAATTTAAAAACATTACTATCTTATGTGCTGCTTTACTTTTATTTACCACTAATTCAAAACATTGCTAGCAAAAATATGAATTGTAATAGTGACATGAATTGTTCTATATTTCTTTCAAGACCATAGCCTTTATTCATCATGATAACGTGCTACGTATTATATTACAGGGAAACCTGAAGTTCCATATTTTTCGGTCACTGCTTTGAAATTTACAGTGCGCTTTAACCGGTTATTATTGGACCACTTTTCAACCAAATGGGTCTTTTCTAATGGAAAATTGTTGTTATCGCACTCTTACGCCCTATACTTCTAGCTTCCATCTCGTTGACGTCATCGAATGCTCCAAAGTATCGCGGTGGTGAGCTTATTGGAATGTCCGACACCGGTCTTCCGCTTTTTGTATATAAGGAAGCTTTCCTACAGAAAACCAGTCGTTCACTGTTTCTTTTTGTAAAGGTTGGAGGCTACAAATTCCATTACATCAAGTTTTTACACGAATGAAATTTGCGCAGGCTCGTTGTAAAAGTGCTTAATTCGGGTGATATTAAGAGTTAACCACCGAATCTGGTTTTTCAAAAACTGATAATGGTTGCATGATCAGTAGGGTATTTGAGGAATTGTGAGGATTCAAGCTTTCAGAAAAATTGAGGAACTGAAACTTTAAAAATTTCTAACACACGCATCCATTTTATGTGAGGCTTAATGCGAAATGAAAGTTAAAGAAATATTAGTTATGGACTTCAAAAACCAGAATATCATCTTGGTTGAGTAAAATAATTTTCACCTTGTAATTTATGTAAGAGATGTAATGTAAGAGAAAAATTTATAGACTCTAGTAGTTGTTATTCCAATTAATAAAGTTTAATATGAGCTGAAATATTGTGGTTAAAAGTTGAATGGGTTCATTATTTTCGCATCCAACGCATTGTACTCAAATTTCATTCGTTAGGTACAAATATGGCCCCTTTCCTTTCTCGTGATTTTTTATTTTTTTTATGTCTCTTATTTATAGGACACGTTGCAAGAGATCCTAGCTAACTCAGATTCACGACGTATTTTCTGGTTTCTTTGTGTTAATCTTGCATTTTGTGGCGTTGAGTTTCTCTATGGGTTTTGGACCAACAGTCTTGGACTCATTTCCGATGGGTTTCATATGTTGTTTGACTGCTCTGCTCTTGTAAGCACTTTGTGAGTTGTTCCATATTTGCGGGTTTTCACAGCGTAATTTGACAGGTGATGGGTCTCGTTGCATCGGTTATGTCACGTTGGCCAGCTACTCGTCATTTTAGTTATGGTTATGGAAGAGTCGAGGCTAGTTCTTTCTTATTAAGATACTTTCTTTTATTGATAAGCCAGCACTAATACGAGGTTGTTACAAAAACATCCAAGTAGCGTTTCGATGTCCTCGTCTTCTTCAAAGCCGTCTTCATCCAAGTCAATTGTCCACATTTTCCTCCTCGCGATGTAGTTCATTGTCGTCGCATCGGGTCGAATCCTCTAGAGTGGTGCAGCGCTCCAATGAAGTAAGCTCACTCGGCGATACCCCCTTATACCCATATACGATACACCTACGTGCCAGCTGACATAGTACCGAATGATGCAGGATGGATTTTCCGGTAAAAAACACATCGTTATCAACGAACAATCGGTCTATCAACAATCGTCCTATGTAGAAGGGCATCACCGAATGAGGTTACTTTATTCAAATGGTGCGCTACTCTAGAAGGTCGGACTTCATGCGAGGACGTAGATGCATACCCCAGGAACGAATGATTTGACATTAGACTCGGATGAACGCTATTTTGTCAAAGATGAAGACACCCAAGCTTTAGGCAATTATGTTTTTATAACAACCACTTGTTAGTTTATAAATTAAAGAAAGTACAAGGGTTATTCATACCGAAGATGAATGAAAGTCGGTTTCCGAGGTCCTTTTTTGTCAGTCTTTGGAATTTTTTGTGCTTATCTCATCTTTACAAAATTTTGTTTCTCCAGGTTCTCTCTGGGTTTATTAATGCGCTATTTCTATGCGTTATTGCATTATTTATTCTAATAGAAGCTCTGGAGCGGTTGTTCGATCCTCCCCACATTAATACTGATCGGCTTTTGGTATGTTTTTGTTGTTGGTACTCTTTTTTCCTCAAAGATATCTCTTCAACTGTTATATTATTATAGTTTATTATACACTTCGTCATTTCAGTTTGTTGCTGTCTCTGGCCTTTTTGTAAATTTGTTTGGAATGTATTCTTTCCATGGTGATGGAAATCATGGACATGGACACTCACATGGTGGTAGTTCTCATGGTCATTCTCATTCAGGAAATGCTAACATGCAAGGTGGGTAACTTTGTGAACGAAAGCAGTCTTTTTCATGTATCTGGGCTAAATTTTCGTTGTGGAGTGATGATCTTCAATTCTAATTCTCATTAGTTTACAGGAGTATTTCTTCATGTCTTGGCTGACACACTTGGTTCGGTGTTCGTAATAATATCTACATTACTTATCCAGTGGTTTGGTTGGGTATGGGTAGATCCATTGTGCTCTCTGGTCCTTTCAGTTCTAATTCTTGGCTCGGTATATCCTCTCCTTAGGAGTAGTGTAAATACTTTGTTACAGGTTCGTCCACCCGTTCGCTTTCATTGTAACTGTTTATATATGAGGAATTCAGTTCATTTATTTCTTTACAGGACATTCCCAATGACGAGGAATTTGAACATCATCTTTGCGAAGCTCTAGAGGTAAATACAGATGGTGCATTGCAATTTATATTTTTGTCTAATTTTCGGCTACTTTATATTCAATATCTATCTATCTATCTATCTGTCTACCACAAATTCTCCTATAACTGTGAGATATCAGCTGATTGATTAAGCATTTACTTCACACGTCTCTAGATGGGTGAGCGGAAGGTTAATATCCGATCAAAAGCTTGTACTTGCCCTAAGACACAAGTGGGTTCAGTGAATGCTGCTATTTTTTCCGCATGGAGCGGAAATTTCCCACGTTTGATTTTGACTAGTGCTTCAAAGATTTTGGGTGACCTATGTCGTTTCTTAAAGTCCTTAATCGTAGAGTTCTAGACATGAGTTTTCCCAAACATTTTTGTTTCACGGGAAAGAAAAGGCCGAATGTCTGCATAATTTTTAGTAAAAATGAATACATAACCATTTTAGTAGGAAATCTTTAGACACTATGTTAATATTGTTAATATTCAAGGTTGATGGAGTGAAATCTTACTCAAAGGCTCATTTCTGGCAGCTTAAAAGCGATTTGAATGTTGCGTCCGTACACATTCAAGCGGTTCCAGAGGCTAACGCCCAGATAATACGTCATAAGGTATATTCGCTTAACTCAGTACTTTGGCTCTCATTAACATCAGTTTCCCTGTTACCTCCTGAAAATTTCTTGTTATGGACTTCATGCTTCTATATACTAAATCCAGGTAGCTGCGCAACTTAAAGCCGCTGGTGCCACACAATGTTCTGTACAGGTGGAAAAAGAGTTTTTCTTGCAACGAATTCAACAGTTGTGTCCGTCGTATAGATTCGATCACAAAGTAATTCAGTTTTTCTCGTTCGTTTATTTCGTCTATTTAAAATGTTGTCATTGTTATGACCATTACTATGTTATCCTTACGTTTTACACTCTATAGTGCAGTACTTCTGCTGATAATACTTCTGTCATGTCGCTGTTACTTACAATTCTGCTGTAGGTAGTTCGTGGAACGGCCATTGTTCGTGAGCGGAAGAAACCTCTTGCGCTCCACGGTCACTCCCATCACGCGCACTCTCATAACAGTCACGGACATTCACACTAACCACATGACTTTTTTTTTGCAGGTTGTTATAGTTAAATCTATAATTTTGTCACTCTCCAAGCTGATGAAACTGAAGCTTTTCAAATGCTTACTACGGTAAAAGTGAGCAAAAGCTCCTTATATTTTTTATCGGTTACAGATCTTTTATGCGTAGGGTTTTCTTGTTTTTGTTCTGTGATTTCATTTTTAACGAAGGTTCATATGCCACATAAGTATTAGTATTGGTACCCGAAGTGCTGCCGTTGTTTTCAAAGTTGGGACTTTTCACGTGTTGAATGTTTTCCTTTAACCCGTCCTTTGTTGAGTTTCAGTCTGTATTTGTTGTGTTTTTGATTTCAAATTTAGTTCCAATGCTATCAAAAGATCTGAGAATCTAGCATCATTCAGATTATTAGGGGTTGAGCGCTTCATTATCGGCATTTCGCAATGTGAGTCATATATGACTCATAAAGGACCGAGAACGGATTTTGGCTCTAGGCGAGCGTATCTGTCTGTGCTGTGAACTTGGTTTATTGAAGTAAAACTATAAAATCTACTAACTTATTTGCTGGTCTTTTGCAGTCCAAGGATTTCGTTGTTTGTGCTCGCTTTTTTTCCATTGGTCCTCGTATTTCGAGTGATGAAGCGTTTGTGAAAGCGAGACTTTATCCAACTGGAAACGATGATATCTCTACATGCGTCATCAATTTGGTGGATTGCCACAGTTGCATTCAAAGTTTAGGAACTACAATGTTAACATTTTATTTGCTACCTACCATAATTTTCATTGCAGGGTATGTGAGGTACAACCCCAATGATACCGAGATATTCGCAAAACTTGGACTGTGGGCCCGATCGAATCACGATCACCCTTTCCGGAGTCTAGCGCGTTCGGACTGCACCACTGAGGCCTTTGCTTTGCGTTTCTCTCAGCCAATTTTCTACCTAACATTCCCATCGGAAATCACCGGTCAATGGGATTGATCTGGTAGACCACATCGGCGTTGAAGACAGTTAAGCTGAGGCTATAGTCGAATTTGCAACGTTAACCTTTTTTGCGAATGTTTTAGTTTAGAAAATACTTATTGTATTAATAATTGTTCGAAGTTCGAGAAAATCTGAACTAGAATTGCTACTTTGGAACAATTATATATACCCATGGACTAGTAGACGGGAGTCCTTGCCATAGATCTATTCTCGATTCCTCAAATACATTGGTTATTCATAAATCGCTAGTCGTCGGAAAACTCAGTGCAGTTGTTTTCGCATCCAACATAATAGTGATGTTTTGTAATTGTTTTGCATATTCTTGTACTTCTAACCTTTACTTTTCTCTGGAGTTCTGGTTTGATTAGGACGTAAATCGTATTGAAATTGCGCAGTTTTCTTCATCCAGTAAGATCTCTTGAATCTAACTGTTTATAGTAGACAATGGTCATAAGTCGGAATCCAATATTTCAGCTAAAGAATGATGTCGAGGCTGTAAGTCATAAGGTTACAGAATTTTGTAGAAATGACAGCACGCCAAATAGAGTTCAGGCTTTGGAAAACCATTGATGCAAATAGTTCTCGACAATAAAGCTAGGTGTTACTATTCTTTGTTCACGATTAAGCTGACGTTTCGGCGGATTTCGCCTTCCTCAGAGCCTGGAAAGGTCAAGTTGATAGCAATCTACTCGGCCAGACGCCTCCATAACCAAACAAAGAAACTCCAAACCAAGATTTCAATCACCTTGAACACAGCCCTGCACACTCACCGTTTTCTATGAGGTTTCCACTAAGTATGTCACGTAGAGACCAACCGCACAGAAATCACACGGAAGTATAATGTGCCCCTCATATCAGAAAAGCAGTTTTATATACTGCCCTATATCACGCGTGATAATGAGGCATTTTCCCTGCGGTTCATTTTCGGATTTCTGGAATTAATCCAGAGTGCCTCGAGAGTTTTTCGCGCCTGTGTTCTTGATTCGCGTGCGAGGATCGTGACACATACTTCGAAGTCGTCCCCGTTATGTCTCTGGGTTCTTTGCGTGCCTAGCGGGTTATTTGGTCTATGCTTGCCTGCTAGGTGTTCTATTATGCGGACACAGAGTGATCTGCCCGTTTCGGCAATGTAATTGTCTTTGCACGTCTTACAGGGGATCAGATAAACTATACCCGAGCTCATGCAATCACCGTCTCTACCACTTGGGCAAATTATGCAATTTTGAGTTGCACATAAACGGTCATATAGACGGTTACGAACTAGCTGGCGCTTAAGATTACTCGGTGGTATTTCAACTACGCTCACCGAATTTTCTAAGCCCGCCCTTCTTAAGCAGCGTTTTATAGCTGTACTTATATCATTTGAGATGAAGGGTAGGATAAACGGGACCCTTCTATCGCTAGAGTTGTCGTTTGGAGGCCTACGATTTCCTCTACACCTATTCTGAGCTACAGTTTCGTAGCCATTAGAAATGGCTATTTGCCGTGCCAAGTTCTGGAACTCCTCTCTGCTCTCTTCCCGTGCACACGTTGGTTGCTGTTCGAAACATGTTTCTTATAAGCGCCCTTTTCGTATGAGAGGGGTGAGAGGAGGGGTAATGAACCAAGATATTTTTACTACTTGGTTTTCGGTACCACTTTGTAATGTAGCCATTTTCTGATAGGTGAATTTGTACGTTCAAAAATGGAAGCCATTTTTCTTTCGGCTTTTCTCGGGTGAACTTGATATACTCTGACTGTGCGTTTAACAATTCGAAGCATTTGTCCATTTCCTCTTGTGTTGAGCAAAGGACAAAGCAGTCGTCTACATACCTACAGTAGAGTAGCGGCCCGAGATCAGTTACCGGTGCTTCCACCTTAGACATAAATGCAATGGCAAGGCTTGGAGCCAGTCGTTGTCGCATTGCCAACCCTCTTATTTGAGGGTAGTACTTTNGGCTATTTGCCGTGCCAAGTTCCGGGACTCCTCTCTCTGCTCTCTTCCCGTGCACACGTTGGTTGCTGTTCGAAACATGTTTCTTATAAGCGCCCTTTTCGTATGAGAGGGGTGAGAGGAGGGGTAATGAACCAAGATATTTTTACTACTTGGTTTTCGGTACCACTTTGTAATGTAGCCATTTTCTGATAGGTGAATTTGTACGTTCAAAAATGGAAGCCATTTTTCTTTCGGCTTTTCTCGGGTGAACTTGATATACTCTGACTGTGCGTTTAACAATTCGAAGCATTTGTCCATTTCCTCTTGTGTTGAGCAAAGGACAAAGCAGTCGTCTACATACCTACAGTAGAGTAGCGGCCCGAGATCAGTNAAATGCAATGGCAAGGCTTGGAGCCAGTCGTTGTCGCATTGCCAACCCTCTTATTTGAGGGTAGTACTTTCCAGACCATCTGAAGATTGAGCAGCTCAAGCATTCTTTTAAGAGTGCCATCAAGTGCTCTATGTTGAAGCCATACATGTTTATTTCTCCTTCGTGTTGTGTAAGGAGTTCGAATATGGCTTGCATTGCGGAGTCACTCGACACGTTTGTATAAAGGGCGGTAACGTCGAAGGACTCCATCACGCACGCGCTGTTGGGCTGCGCAGTACGTAGACGATCCAGAAACATCTGGGTATTCGTAAGATGGGCTGGAATGTGTTTCAACAACTGGTTAAATATTAGGGTTAAAAACCATGTTATCCTGTCCGTTGGCCCGTCTACGCAGCTAATGATAGGTCTAACCTTAAATAGTGATGGATCGTTAGACGCAAGATCATCGCTGGATACTAACTTATGAGTTTTTATAAGTAAGTACAAGTAAGTAAGTGATCTCGGGCCGCTACTCTACTGTAGGTATGTAGACGACTGCTTTGTCCTTTGCTCAACACAATAGGAAATGGACAAATGCTTCGAATTGTTAAACGCACAGTCAGAGTATATCAAGTTCACCCGAGAAAAGCCGAAAGAAAAATGGCTTCCATTTTTGAACGTACAAATTCACCTATCGGAAAATGGCTACATTACAAAGTGGTACCGAAAGCCAAGTAGTAAAAACATCTTGGTTCATTATCTCGTCTCACCCCTCTCACACGAAAAGGGCGCTTGTAAGAAATATGTTTCGAACAGCTTCCAGCGTGTGCACAGGAAGAGAACAGAGAGAGGAGTCCCGGAACTTGGCGCGGCAAATAGCCATTTTTTATGGCTACGAAACTGTAGCTCAGGATAGGTGTAGAGGAAATCGTAGGCCTCCAAACGACAACTCTAGCGATAGAAGGGTCCCGTTTACCCTACCCTTCATTTCAAATGATATAAGTACAGCTATAAAACGCTGCTTAAGAAGGACGGGCTTAGAAAATTCGGTGAGCGTAGTTGAAATACCACCGAGTAATCCTAAGTGCCAACTAGTTCGTAGCCGCCTATATGACCGTCTATGTGCAACTCAAAATTGCATAATTTGCCCAAGTGGTAGAGACGGTGATTGCATGAGCTCGGGTATAGTTTATCTGATCTCCTGTAAGACGTGTGGTGACGAATACATTGGCGAAACGGGTAGACCCCTCCCCTCTGTATCCGCATGAAAGAACACCTAGCCGGCAAAAATAGACCAAATACCCCGCAAGGCACGCAAAGAACCCAGAGACATAACGGGGACGACTTCGAAGTATGTGTCACGATCCTCGCATGCGAATCAAGAACACAGGCGCGAAAAACTCTCGAGGCACTCTGGATTAATTCCAGAAATCCGAAAATGAACCGCAGGGAAAAATGCCTCATTATCACGCGTGATATAGGGCAGTATATAAAACTGCTTTTCTGATATGAGGGGCACATTATACTTCCATGTGATTTCTGTGCGGTTGGTCTCTACGTGACATACTTAGTGAAAACCTCATAGGAAGCGGTGAGTGTGCAAAGCTGTGTTCAATGTGATTGAAATCTTGGTTTAGAGTTTCTTTGTTTGGTTATGGAGGCGTCTGGCCGAGTAGATTGCTATCAACTTGACCTTTCCAGGCTCTGAAGAAGGCGAAATCCGCCGAAACGTCAGCTTAATCGTGAACAAAGAATAATAACACCTCGCGTTTGCTCAACAAAAATACGAAGAAAATTACTTGATCAATGCCGAGGTTAATAGAAAGTCGGTCGTGGCATTTACTTCATGTGGTTTAGTTTTTGTCATGCTCGCAAACTGGCTGCTAGACTCGAAGGGCTGTACAAGAGGTAGCGGATAATGCAGTGGTTGTGGTCCCGTTCCTTACGTGGAAGCCTAACCTATCGAATGGTCTGTTCGATTCGCACCGGGCCCCATCGACACTCTCATTCCTCCGAGATTAGGGAAGGCTCGCACACTCTAGTTCGCGTTGAAACGCCGTAGCTCGAGTTTGTCGAGATTTTAGAGAGAATCGATTCGAATAGCATCATTCAACAACGTTCCTGACAAAAACGAAAATTTTTCAAGCAGCAGTCAAAATCACACATTAAAAAGGCTGAAGACCTTCGTGAATGGTGGATGTGAGGAAACGAGTTGAATGAAAGAAGTGCTGGAATCCACTCATACGATGGGTAATCAACATGTGGTATCGGGTAATCAAACGCAAAAATAAGGAACCCTAATGTTCTGACGATTCTCTATATAAATATTTATTTAAGATCTCTCTAGCGAAGACAACGGTTTTTGGCAAATCTGTTTGGTTAATAAAACGTCAAAGTAGCACACATCAAGGAAAAACAAGGAATAATGAACAGATTACGGTGAACTTTCTGCTGAAGTCGCCGTGATTCATCAACTAGGGACATTTCATACACGAATTCGTGAGGTATCGAGGCGGAACATTCGACGAACCACAACGACTTCAGTGATGGAAACAATGATGGCTGTGATACAGAAAACAACTACATAGATTTGAATATAGTCGGAGTTAGACTGCTGCATCGCCTCATCTCGAACTGACACCTGAAGATCTCGTTCATTTCGAGCAAATGTTAGGGTCAGATAGTCGGAACCTCAGAATCAACATACCTTATTGTAGTACTTGATTGAATAGAAAATCTTATAGAAGTGTTCAATCATTTTCGAAATACATTGCTAAAAAAGGCATAGTAGAGAGGAGGCACATGAGCTAATGACTAGATGGAGGGCTACCTGCACGTTTTCGCTAATTTCGTTAACTTCAAGGTATTTCAGGAAAGCTTGTTCGATTTGGTCCGGCTTGTGGAAAAAAATGTTGAGTGTTACCCGCAGTGGTTGAGATGTACTGATGCATATCTCATAGTCGCCTGCAAAACCCCACTTATCAGTTACATTTGTTACATATGTATTTGCATATGTAATAATTCATTGGTAGCGTTAAATGTTAGGAAACATGGAACTAGAATCCTTGAGCACTATGTTTAGGGACACTGCGGACATAAGTCATCGTCAAATTTTGCATGAAACTCCCACGTTCAAACTGGTCAGCACCTATTAGAGTTTGTTGCGGCATATTACGTATGGCGAGGAAAGCAACATTGAGTTCGAATCTCATACTGTGCAAAAACCTGCTCAGTACTGAAATGTGGATGGCCGACCAGCGCCAAGTTTAGGTGGCGTATCAGTGGTGAAAGAATGGTTATGCGATTCGAACTCCTCTACGAAGTTGACATGACCTGGCAACATCTTTTTCAATCTTGAAAGCCGATTACATTTGGTAAAAACGCTGCGTAGCGAGCGCGAACTAGGCCTATACTCCAGATCTCCAGACTTGGAGATGTGAGTCATATAGGAGTCGAAAGGCACTTAAACTGGATGCTCTTAACTGAGACTTCTTTGCATGCCTGATATTCTAAGTGACAACGACCGGTTTGTATAGCATTGTGAAAGTTGAGTGCTTTACCTACTATGATAAGTCGATACTGGAAATTATCGCCTCAATCTGAGTTGAACGTGTTACAAGAAGAATACGCACAACTGCCGTTATGCACCAGTGAAAATCCGCCAGCTCAGCCAAAACCCGATCTACAAAGCCGTGCGATGGCGTTGTTTGTATTTTGAGATTTATAGGATATGATCTGGGAGCGAGGTCGTTCCTGTTGTCTATTTGACCCATTCTTACAAAATAGACTAACAAGCAAGTGGGAAATTTGGGCTGGACTGGCATAGATAGTCCAGCCATGGTCAACACTTCTTGAAAGACACTTGTTATATATTGGCATTACATCTGCACTAAACCTTTGCCGACTCCTACACTCTGAACATGACCTTGCTAGCTTTCTCGAGTCGCAACCCCTATGTGGGTAAAGAGGATCTAAAATCCACTCAGATATGGTATACCCCGAGTGAATGAGTGATATCGTCTACTAAGACTGCCGATACGCCTTTCCGACTGATTTCGTAGCATACAGTGGAAACCGCAGACCTCAAAAACGTATAATGTGCCTATATCGCTCGTACTCTTGTAAATTATTAAACGAGTGCAGTGAACGTGTGAATTTGCCATTTGTATGCCACAAATGCCCACTGGATTCTGTTCGCTTGAGGATCAGGAAGGGCGTCATAGTTTCGTATGACGACTTTGAAATTTGAGGTTTTTCAAGGGTTCAAGGGAGAGTACGAGGAAGCTCTACATTGCGGGCTGTGTATACTCAACAGAGCGGACATTGTGTTGTTAACCGTTGTAGAAAAATAAATAGACACTGAAATAGTAGATGTAATCGACCGCGTTCCGTGTTTTATAACAGGAACACTGGCCCACTAAGATACTTTGTAATTCCACTTTATGAGAGCAGATTGTTCAGTGGTAGTGATGTTGTCCAAAATGCGCGAAAGCCCTGGTTCGATTCCACGCAAACTAACCCGTCGTTCTCTCCTGGGACGTGAAATTGGTAGTAAACTCGTCTCTGATGAGTTCATTCCCTCCAACACACAAAAACTGGCTATTAGTTGTGATTAAAATCTGGGAACGTCTTAGCGCGGCTATCCCAGGATTTTGTGGAGACTTTACTCCACCAGCAATCAACGATTTTCATCAAGAAGACAAAGTCTCAAGTGAACGCCAAACCGACACGCAAATCTGAAGCTCGTTGGTGATTGATGTGAGGAAATGATGTGTTAGGATACGCACAATATATGAAATGTCGAGTCGTGAAAAGCAGTAAAAAGTTGCTTTACTAGGCGACATTGTCGAAAGAGAAAGGTTATTCGCGTCCACTCAATTTTTTTCATTGTTCACTCTTATTCATCTATAACTCGATTATCTCTTATATCATCGTGTTACTCTAGCGATCACCATCCAGAGACTAGTGATGTTTCCATTCTTCGGTGTACTCATGGAAACAACTAGCACCACTGTTTTCGTACGAAGCTCTCTACTTTCAATGAGTACTGTGGATAGGGTAGCCATAGGTACTTCGACAGCTTTCGCAATGAGGACTGTCTGTATTCAAGGCGGGTTCTTGGGATCTCCTAGAATATGCAGAGAAATTGCATTTTGGAGATGACGGGTTCCTTGCAATTTCAGTTGATTTCAGCCTTTTTTATTGCAAGTAACCTGCTTACACTTGCAGTTAGGAGAGCGGTTTATCGCCCAACAACTAAGTTTACTACAAGAAGGAGACGATTTGTAGTATGCGTTTGCACTTAAGTGGAAATCCGTATTGAATTATCGAACTCCTCTCTTGGGATGGCGTTGGCTGATATGAAGTTTCTGTTTCAGGTCACAGTTCTGCAATCATGGTCGCCTCCTTTCTACGATGATCTGGTGAACACCGTTGAGTAGAACGACATTGTTTTTTATTATACAACGATTATAGAGAAGTTAGCTTGTTGAGCTCCTTTTAGCATAAGTATATCATGTACTATCATTGTTGCAAAGAATAGGAACTGACCGTCCTCGGTGACATTGTGGTTCATGGACGCCTCGCCATCTCCTTCTGCCCAGTCAGAAAACTCTCCTGAAGGAGACGTCAGACGCATGGCCATACGATATTGGGACAGCTCTGCTGGCTAAATACAGAGCTGAGAAGTGTGCTCATTTCGTTACTGTCTATAAATGACTAGCTGACACGAAATTATAGTACTTCTCTCAAAAAGTTCGTTACGGTAATGACGTTAAGACTTCACTAGACATTTCAAGACTTACACTAAGACCGAGTTTTAGCGACATCTCCTTCTCCAATGGTTCATATAGACATGTCATTTTGGATTCGAGGTCCATAGTTATCGATCTATCCACATGAGATTCAATGCCGAATACCGCACGACTAGACAGGGCATTTAAATGTGGCAGCAGGAAGTGAATCACCAGAATTACCAGCATCTGAAATTGATGACTAATCAAAACTTCTACTTCTAGAGCAAGAAGGAAATTACTGTTGTTCGTTAGGAAATAATGACGAGATTTAAGGAATATTCACACAGAATAAATTCCTAATGTGGGCCATTAACTTGAACGGCTTCGAGGCCATTAACGGAACATTCCTCACGCCAGTTCCTCGTCTTTGGCATATCGATGATGGTGGTCAACGTAACTGAGCTTTATAAAAATGTCGAATCCTTTGCCAAATCGCCCACGTAGCTGAACAATATATTCACACCATATTGACAGAAGTGCTGCTTTCGTCAGCACAGAATGTCGTGCTGCACAAACAGTACGGAGGGATATCTATTTAACCCTCTTAATGGACTTCTAAACTATGCCGCTTTATGAAGAGTTTATACCCTCACATAAACAGGAGTTTTATACTAAGACACAAGCTGGCTTTCATTTAACATCGGCATAAATTACCAATACTTTCTCGTGTTTGTGCGCTTGTATGGATTAGCTGCCAAATCCTTTTTGTGGCTAACACTTCTAGTCCTTCGCCTTCTTCAGAGCCTCAATGGCTCGAACCGATTGTCCATAGATGTTCATTCGTGCAAAGTTCGTCTTCTGGTCACATCGAATCGAATCCAATGGAATGGAGCAGCACATGAATGAGCTAAACTCATTTCGAAGTCCCGTTTTGGACATGACAATTGTTGCTTGGTTGTTTGACCCAAAAGGCACTGAAAAGTGACCCTACTTCGTTTAAGCGGTGTTCTACTTCAGTAGATTGGTTTCGATGCAACGACGAAGACCAGCATCGCGAAGATGAACGGTTGCGGACAATCGACTCGTATCAGAGCGGTAGTGAAGATGGCGAGGACGTCGAAACGTTAGCCAAATTTTTGTAACAAACTAGTGCAAGCTCATGAATACAGAAAAATATTAGTATCAGGAATTCTAATTTTATTGCTTTTTTAATGATATGAGATGCCTTTGTCTATGGAACCAGACGCTAAGAGGTGTTTTTCGTGAAGTGAATCTTGCGTCTTTTGGGAAGAATTCCTCACTTCATGCTGAGAGTGATGTCGTCATGAAGCAGATATAGGCCTTCATAGATGCGAACTTCTTACCACTTAGAGTCAAAGTTTAGTTCTAAGCAAACAGCTAACAATTTTTCGGTAATTAGGGCACTTGAGGAGTTTAAAACGTGATCAGCTTACATAAAAGTCTGCTCTATCTAGGCAAGAGTAAGTGTGGTTCTTCGAAAGTATTATTTGTTATTACTATTTGTTTATTTTTTTCTTAAAGTTAAACGATAAATGAAAAGGATAAAGCCCTCGGCGTTGATCAATCCCTGAGGTTATGCATTCGACTTCACTAAGCATCGTTGGCGGTGATTGAATGCATATCTGGCCTTTACAATGACTCGCGGTAGCCTATCGATGTATCAAGTCAGTGCTGCTATCCTCCCAGACAAGTCTGGTACCAATTTGCCGACCCAGGAGGGATGGAAAGCTTCGTGGGCCATGGGAGCGGGAATCGATTCCACGTGTGTTGCAGGGCGCCCCAGACAACTGAGCCACACGCGTCCTCTTTTTAAGTTATTTATTTAATTTCTCACATCTTTTATATTATACGTACATTATTTTCAGTTGTAACTGTTGCGTTTGGAACAAAGAACCCGTCAAAGAAAAGTCGCTTGCAAAAGATTGACAGACAAACGCTGTTAAAGTGATAATTGCATATTGAATCTTACTGATTGTTACAGACTTTGTTTTCCTTTCTTTCGTTCGCCTTGGTGATGTAGATGTACTTTTTTGTTTCGTTTTCCGCTACCAAGACAGTGCTACTACTTATATGTACCCTCCAGGATTTAACAAACAGATCAGTTTTGACCAGGAAGTAACGAATTCAAACAGGAAAGACACAGATTTGGAAGGAAGTTTTCTATCGACACCACGTCAGTTTGGGTAGTCCACAACAAAAAAATGAGCGTCGAAAGCGAAGTGTTTAGTTCTACATCTTCCTGTGTTAACCAAGTCTTCCATCCGTACTAGTTCGATAAACTGGCATTTCTCTGTTTTAGGTAAAGCTCCCTCAAATCTGTAAAAGTCGTCAAGTGCCTACGTTGGAAATCTGGAACGCCTTAGCACTACTACCTCAGGATTTCAAAGAGAATCCACTCAGCCAGAATTCAACAACAATCAGAAGATCAACGATTCCACGCATAAACCCGGGCTGGGGTGAACGAAGGATGCAAGAAAACTATTCGAATGAATAAAGTGCAGGGATGAGCATGATTTGTGATGTTAGATAATGTAAAAGTATACTACGGAAATTATACTGTCCTTGAATAATCTGTACCAATCGTCAGAAAACTTAGAGCTGGACAGGATCGATTGGATGCAGATGAAGAGGGAAATAGAAATATGTGCTAAATAATGATTCTCGATGGGTAATCCTTTCGCAGAACATTATTACTTGTTCCACCACCCATGACACTATATATCGAGGCATTTTGCTTAGTAGTTGGACGTAATGTTCTAAGATTTTTTCCATTATTACCACTAGAATTCATAAGCATTAGTTCTCATAGTTGCTGGCCATTTCCTTCCGCGTCCATTGAAACATCCGATTCCATTCCTGGTCCTACACAACTGCTCCTCCCGCCCTAACGTAAGCGGTACACAGAGGCGATCCCGACGCGATTGATTGTTTCGATAATAACCATCCCAGTTTGGTTTAGCGGGAAGTTGCACATCAAGTACTTCCATGATTGTCGCCTCCTAATAGCTTTTCGAATGATGAGGTGAATGTTACAAACATACGAGTACTGGGCATATGTATTGGGAAAATCCCGTGCAGTGTTTTTTTAAAGAAACAACGCTTTTCTGAGTTAACTATGAATTCGTTGTCTAGTACAGACGTCTTCTTTTCCTCGTTGTCTGTTTGTTCCTCTTTCACTTCTCTCGAATCTGGATTGAATTTGATCTGCTACGTTGTAACGAAGATCGACTCCAAGTTTAAAACCTCAAATACTCTTGATATATCAGCTTATTTTGACTTCCCAATTATTAATTACATGTAATTAAGTATACAAGGGAGATAGCTACTTTAGGAGGGCAATTATCAACTACGCAGTGAACACGAGCGCTCATTAGTTTGGTTCTCGTAAGTGAAATCTCCAGACGTTTATGCATGAAGAGAATAAAAGTACTCCCGGAGCGATGGTAAACCAAATTTACGGAAAAAATTATTTCTATTGATTTTACTTATTAAAGGGAGAAGCTCTCAGCGTTGATCAATCCATGAGGAATGTGCCATGCATTTGACTTCATCAAGCATTGCTAGGGATGATTGAATGGACACCTGGCCCATACAAGGATTCGCTGTGGCGGTGGCCTACCGATGTATCGAGTCAGTACTGCTATCCTTCCACACAGGTCTGGTACCAATTTGCCGACCCCGGAGGATGGAAAGCTTGGTGAGCCTGGGGCGCGGGGATCGAACCCATGTGTATTGCATAGTGCCCCTAACCACTACGCTACACACCGCCTTACCATTATTATTCAATTTTACTCATTGGGTGAAATATTTCTGAACTGGTTTCACAGCATATTGTATGTAATATATTTTGCTTCGGAAATTCGTCAAGAGATTTGATTGTAACCGGATAATGTCTTCATTTGATCACGAATGAGATCTCTTTTATCTTTACTGAATGTCCAGTGAACTTGTTCCTCTTGAGGCGCACATAAATCACCTGTCGCAGTTTGTCTTCAGAATTTGTGAAGACACCTAACCATAATAACGTACCTTTGCTTTTCAGTAAAGTTTATCTAGTTATAATTCTAGTCTAGTGGTTGTTTTTAAATCGTGATGTCATACCTTTGTCCTCGAACAGATTCCTCTGAATCACAACGACTGCCCACTACCTATGATGAAAACCTTGGAATGTCTTACCAAGAGAATTCTAGGATTCCAAAGAAAATCCATTCGACCAGAACTGAATGATGTCCGTCAGGAAGGCAAAAGCCTCAAGCACCACCTGAGTCTGCACCCAAATCCGAAGACCTTCATAGGTCACATAGGAAAGAAGCGTCATAAGAGGAATCGAATGAAAGAAACGCATGCGTCGATACAATATGTGATGTTTGGTTGCATAAAGAAAAATCACCAAAGTCATTTGAATCTTTGAGATTTGTTAGAAGAAGAGAATATGTGAGGAAGAGTATTTTCACTGAGGAAGGAGAGTTTGCTGCTGAATTGATTTATGAGTATGGATAGGTAGCATATTGTATAAAACGATGGTATGAATCACACAAAAAAACCAAACATGATTTGCTCCGTGACGGCTGTAAAATTATACGAGTGTTAAAATCGATCGCTTATCACGTTCTCTGTCGTACTATCGCAGTTCGCCTCCGACACGTAATCCATGCGCTCGGCAACATCAGCTTCATGGTCTTGTTACCTTTCCGCTTCCGGAGCTCACTCGATATCCCGTGGAGATATTCTCTACTTTCATCTACATTTATGACATGCCGTACACGTGTCTCTTATAACTATGACAAGTACTATTCCAAACTATTCCAATACATACCACTGAATCACTGAGTCTGCACAGTGTGTAGAATGCGTCATAGCAGCCGGTTGATGTTTTTGCCTTGCAGCTGGCATCAAAAGGAACCGTGCTGTCTTTGTAGGTCTGTAGTTCCTCATGAACGAACGCCTGGAAACTTGTAAGAATATTTGCTGTGAAATGGTCAAAACCCACCGCATTGTCATTTCACTTCAAACGACGTGCAGAGACCGCCATTGCTGTTTGACATCACTGACATCACTCTGTTCCATCACTCGGTTCTCTCCGCTCACCTTTCTTTTGATTAGAATAGACTGGGATGATGCATACTAACTCTCACACTCGTACACCATTGACAAATTATGCTTACTCGTTAATCCTCATACAACCGCTACGCATTGTTAATTTTGTAACAGTATCCTATTGGATT